GTGTGCCAGCAAGTTCCTACAGTACCTCAAGGTTTGTTATGTGTGTTTTCACAGAATATGGAAGGACACAGAATAATGGTGGAAACTGTCATTGAGAAATAGTTGGTTTTCTCATTTCCTTGTAAAAAATATGTTGTATTGTAAGACAGTGCAGCTTAAACCGCACCAATGTATTAACCTAGATTCTCTGACATTTTAAGAATAGGAATTCAGCAAAACAGTAAGGTGAAAATAGAGCTCTGAGACTTAAACCTGACTATTTTGACTCCCTAATACTGTGTGAACCGAGGTACAAACATTCTCATTACTCTATCTTTTTCTGTTGAAGTGGCCTTCATAAGGACTGCTGTAGGATATAGAAAATGATAATGATGAAAAGAGAAAAAGAAAGTTGGGTGCTTGAGTATTTTTCCTCTTGTTTACAGATCTTCACCCTAGCTGAGAGTCTGGGAGGAATCGAGAGTCTGGCTGAGATCCCGTAAGTTGCAGCCTTACATAGCTGAATTGGGGCATGATGCACATTAAAATTTATCACGAATGGTTCACCAACTCGACAATAAAAGGTAAAACGCTATTCTTAAACCTTGTCCTGCAGCTAAACTGTTTGAATGGCGTCAGGAGTGAATCAAAAGTGTTGCGTTGGTACAAAGCTTGAACTCTACAACTATAAAACTTCTTCATAAATCGAAGACAAAAAGAAAGAGATAAATTTCATTCCCCCCCCCCTCCAGTGGCCTGATGACGCACATGTCCGTTCCAAAGGAGGACCGTGACAAGCTCGGTATCCATGACGACCTGATCCGCCTGTCCTGCGGCATCGAGGAGACCTCTGACCTCATCGCTGACCTTGACCAGGGGCTCAAGAAGGCCGTAAGTTTATTACAAGTTAAAACTTTTGATCCAACACAAAGAAGTTCTCTAAAGCTCACCTAGAGCTTTCGACCAGTCACTCTGGTCTTCCTCAGTAGACTGACCCAGTGAGACTTGTCACATGGCTTCTTTGAAGTGTGACATCAACACTGGGTCAAAGGTATCTGGTAGACGGTGTCGACCCCCGTCGTGGTTGAGTGATGGGTGATGGGCCATAGGTGAGAGATCTTTGTGTAGGATCTAAAGTTTTAACTTTAAACATGTAACTACCAACACAGATGAACCTTCATGATAAGGCTGTGAGTTTGTTTGTTTGAACCTTTGTCTAAATCAGAAATACTGGCTGCTTTTCATTTGGGGTATAATAAAATACAAAAGATACAGGTTACATAACTGAAATCCATTATATACCATGTACAATGACAAATGCTTACACATACCGGTACATGGTGTTGTGTAGAAGATGTAGAAGAAAATGAATATTGGCTGTAAGTTTACAAAATACAAAACTTAAGGGCTAGAAATAACACCCGCATTTGCAGGTTAGTGCAGGTATATCTGATGATGTCTACCTGCACCTGACCTGCACTTAGTTTAACGTAGACTTGGTCTAATCTTTATTCATCTATTTTCTTGTCATGTCAACAATACATGAGCTGATACTTGTTCTGTTTTCAATCTCCAGGTGCCTGAAGAGTTGCGGAAATAAGAAACTGCTGCTACTGACCTGCATACAGTGAAAACGTGCGGGGAAAATGTGGGGTGGGGTGTTGGAAATTCAAAACAGTGAAACACATGTACATGTGCATGTGGGATAGGGTGGGGTGGTTGTGGGGTGGGGTGGGGTGGGATGTTGGAAATACATAACTGTCAAACCTGTCAAAAGTGACCTTGATGAAAAGGACCTTGATGAAAATGTACTAGTAAGGCTGGGAAAATAACGATGATATGAATTGTATCCTCTTTTACTCAAGGACCTTGATGAAAATGGTCACAGGTGGTCACTATAGACAAAATTCTTAGTTCTTGGGAAGAAAATAATCTCTAAGGGAACACTAAAAAGTGGATGCATTGGTGTCACTACTACAGGTTTGACTGTATATTTAGGATGGGATGTTTAATTGGTGTGAAGGACTTGCCCTTGTTAAAATGAAGCCCTGGAATGGTGTGGTTGGTTTTCCCCATAGAAAATTTAGATGATGACCGGCTTCCATCTAGAAAAATAGTGGTGGCAAATGTAGGAAAGATATTCACTCAGCAACTTGGTCTGTTCTGTTTACTTCGTGTATTAAAAGGGCTGTGTCAAAAGATTGGAGAGAAGTGGTCTACATGGCTAAGCACTTTAGAATGATGATATGCCTTGTAATCTCTTTCAAGGACTCGGGATCAAATAAATACAAACCGTGGCACATAGTTAGACTTACATTACGCTACCATATATACAGTATACATGTATGTGAAATGCACAAAGCTGAAAAATACTTTTAACACAACTCCTGCAATGAAATCTAAAATAGATGATCTTCCACACAATTGTCCATGATACTACTGGCTTCCATGAAGTCTACATGTATCTTAATTGTGATGTACTTTTTTAATTCAAAGGTTTAAACTTGGATATACAACACACACTTTTTGGGTTAAATTTCAAACAGTAACAATCTTGATACTACATGTATTTTTAACTGTATAACCTATCACTATATATTTAAAAACTCTATATGAAGAGCGTCTTTATCAGTATTTTCTCAAGAGTCACCTATTTATTTTATGTTTATTTTCCTTCTTTCCCCCCGAAATAAACAGTCCATGTGCTATAACTTCTTTTCTGTGTTTGTTCTTTTTTGGTAAATATATAGTTGGGGTCAAGAGCCAACTCACCTAGCAGAGGTTAAGCCTATCTTGGATGTTTAAATAACTTTTAGATGTTTTGTCAGGCTTCATATTTTGTCAGCTTTTCTTTGGGTAGACCACCAAGTGAGGAAAAATAGGGTGCATAAATGGCCAGAAGAGTGATCCTGTGATAACATTTCCCTTTGACCTGCATGACCAAATACAACCTATATAGTGCACTAGAGGCAATATAAACTCCCCTAGCAAATTGTAGAATTTTTCAGCAGCATAGCCAGCCTGGAGGAGACTACAAAATTAATCTCCAAGCAGATCTTTCAGTGGTGGTAAGACAGTATCAAATTGGCCTGCCTGTATTAATTTGCTGGGAGCGGCAAACTGTTCTCTCCAGCAGACCAACTCCCCTGGCATGCTATCTCTCTATTTGGCCAATTTCTACTCTTTTCAGCAGCCTCCTGAAGCCTGGTAGAGGCTAACTGTCTTACCCCCACCAAAAGATCTGCTTGGAGATTATTAGCTACCCGGTAATCTTGTTTCCATAACTGTCAATGAAGAGATCGAAGACTTGAGTTGATAGAGTTCACAACATGTTGAAAAGGAACACCATCTACAAAAGTATCCTGCAAATAATTCTGACTCAAACCATTCATACATTTTTACAGAATGAGTAATTTATATAAACCTGGTATTATATCAAACTGCATGTGAAAATTAGTATCAGTACATAAATGTACAGTCAGCATAACACGGTAACATTTTTGGGAATTGATCTTGTTTTCTCGATATTGCTCCAAGTTAAATAATGTATCCAACATGTTTTAGATAATGATAACTAGAAGTTGTTGTTTCACCTATACATACACTTCACACCATATAAGACTTAAGATATAGCTAGAAGGGGCTAGCTTGAACATTTCTTCATAGTCAACATAATATACTCTATGTACAGTTATATTATAATAAACATCCTACACACAAAGCTGGCACATACATATAGCGTATGAACAAGCAAAGTTCTGAAATATCAACTACACCATTTTCAATGCAATTCTGTACATCAGATACAGCTCATGCTAATGATACACAATTTAGACTGCAATGCAAAAAGATGTCCTAGCTTTGAGAAGTTATATTTTACAGTATAGAGCATTTTGTATGACTTTTATTGGGACATCAACAATATTACAAACCTTACATTGTGTTCTAGCTTTATTTTGTCCAAATTTTTAGACGACATATAATATAAAGATCCCAAACAAAACATTGTAAGATGATATGATACTGATAACTATTTATCCGGTACTAGTAGTACTAATGCATTTCAGACCTGTAAGCCTTGTTCCTATGTCCAAGGTAATGTTTCATGTATACAAACATTAAGACATCCACAACGCTCTCTCATCCCCACTTTGTGGGCTTCCTTCAACCAAAAACACCTAGACTTATTAACCTTCTCCCTAATGTTTAACCTTATACCCAATACAAATTTCATTTCAATACTCTATCTTGGCAACAACAAGCTTAACAGGCTTTCTAAACAGATGCATTACCATGCAAGTACAAAATGTATCTATTATTGTATAATGGCAGAGTATATATCTGTACAGCTAGTGGTAAACACACATTCAGATTTTTTACAGACAAAGTTGCTCCAAGGAATTTTAAACCTCCTTGGCTGCTCAGAGATTTTTTTTTACTACAAAGTACTTCTAATGCTGTTAGGTTGACTTAATTCAACCAATGTTGTTACTGTTGAAGATAGCAATTATATTTATTTGTAAAATAAAAAAAAATGCATGAATGAACATTATTATTATTATATACTGAAATTTCCCACCACATTTGTCAACACAAAATATGCGGAATGCACATGATTTCTACAATATTACATTGTACAGAAAAAATCAACATCTAGATCAATAAACATCTAAACAATAACTGTGCAGCACACTGCATCTATATTCTACACAATGGCACAAGCCTCAGAAAGTGCTAACTCGGGTTATTCCATTTTTAAAAGTTCAAAGGGGGGAAGTCTAGATCTGGGCAACATTTTCAATATATATGTAATATTGTGAAGAGGGTAGAAAATGAAAAGGACAGAGTTGTATAGTTGTATGTGTTCAATGGGTCAAGAATTAAAAGTTTCTATCAGCAACAGAAGCTTATAACTTATGCTAAGTTATAGGGGGCCAATGTTCACAACAAAACATTGTTTGCCTACAAAAGTTCTTCATTGATTGATATTACCCAGAATATGAATAGACTCATCCACAACAGACAGTTAAAGTATAGGTTTATGGCTGTACTATCCATAAATGGGGGTGTGTGAAGCTGTGATGAGTTTGCTGTGGGGTTGTTGAATTAGCCTGGGTGCCATCCTCCGTAGTTTTTGCATCCGAGGTGCCCAGTGACATTCGAAGGAAGGAGTGGGCAAAAACTACGGAAGATGGCACCCAGGCTTTTGTTGAATTACCGGTGGGATTATCCGATTATTAGAGGCGTTTTCTTAACTCAGAAGCCGGAGAAAGCGAAGTCGTCTTCTCTTGTGAAGACGATGAAGTACGCCAAGATGGTGATGAAGACGACAACATTACCTGCTACCGTTAAACCACAGGCCGCACCTTGTATCTGCAAGGGGAATAGAATTTCTTTACTTCAGGCACATTGACCCTTAGCAACCTAACATAAAAGTACTACAACACTTCTACAACAAGTGCACTCAAGGCTAACCAAGGAGCTTCAGAATGTCCTTGGGCATATAATATATCTTCCTATTTTCTGTATCATTTTTTTTCATGTGGACCATCATAAGTGAGAACAAATTTCTTGTTTTCTTTAATGTTAAGACAAAAATCAATGCAAGTGCATAAAATTTCCTAAGAGGAATGACTCACTATACCAATTCTCGCCAGTGGCTAGATTAATTATAGACAGATAGACGACTTACTACTCCTGCTCTTGCCAGCACAATTGGCAGCCCAAATGCAGACACGACGATGCCCGTGGTGAGGAAGATACTGAGCTCGGTGCAGGCGCTGCTGGCAGAGTCGGACATCTATTCTGTGTAGCACCATAGAAAACTCTACTATCGATAACTATTAATTATCATTGATCATTGAATGGGAAAAGACTTACTACACCCGCTCTTGCCAGCACGATTGGCAGCCCAAAGGCAGACACCACGATGCCTGTAGTGAGGAAGATACTGAGCTCGGTGCAGGCGCTGCTGGCAGAGTCGGACATCTCCTCTGTGTAGCGCCGAGAGATGCACCATGGGATTGGAGCCAGGATGTAGAACATCACCACGAAGAACGGCCACCACAGGCTGGGGGAAACAAAGACATATTAATATAAAGATAATTAATTTGACTAGTATATTAACTTATGATTTCAAAACTTATTAAGATTAAAGAACCTGCCTGCCTACATTGCCTGCCACACTGTGACTGTGTGTGGTAGATTTGACTTTAGTATACTGACTATAGACAGGTTTCTCTGCATATACACATATGTAGAATAGAGGGAAGACATTAGCACTATGATTTACAGCAACATTTTTTTTATTTCTAACCTCCTTGTTAGTACATCCTTCTCATCTAGGCTCCACAAAGACTGCCAACATAGCAGGAGTAATGAAATGAAAAAAGTGAAGTCTAGTGAAAAGTTACTTTACATATACAGAGAAGAAAAAGACCAGCAATGAGAAAACTATTTGACTTACTTGAATTGTGGTAATGCACAGGCCAAGACCACAAATGTCATCCCGATGGCACCAAAGAAGGCCAACCCGATTAAACTGTAAGGAAACATCAATGGGTTAGCAAATAGCAAGAATACAATTGAACAAGAGAGATCACAAGAGAGGTCACAAGCATTGTAGTAAATTCATGAATGTTTTTTCTCCAAGACTGATACATGTTGAATTGACAACTGTTTTATCATTCTTTACTGTATCATTCATGTATCAATTTAACTTCATATGCTTTATTTGGCACTAAAAACCCATTTGGTCTGAAACAACTAAATTTAACTTAAGAGTAAGAGAAATTATACTCACGCTGTTGTGTTGCATATGGGGTGGACACGAGAAAAAAATAGAAAAACAGTCAGTTAATATCATCACATTTGATTAAGTAAGAGATGTACATTGTACTAATCTCTAAAAATAAATTGCTCTTATGATCCCAATTACAATACAAGGATCCATTTCATATTATGAAAATGACATATTTGGTCTTCCAATGCGGCCTGACCTCAAATCCAGTTGATAGTATTACACAGAAATAAATCTGCGCCATGTTTCCAATCACTTTCTGCAGCAGGCCTGATTTGATTGTTATCGACCTCACAGCTGCCAATATGCGATTGTGTTACATACAATACAATCAACGGAAAACCATTCAGATCATAGAAACCTAAATTACATTCAATGCTATTCATTTGGAACCAGGAGAAAAGTGGGAAGGCACAGGCGTGAAAAAAATGAAGAAAATTTTGGCATCGGTTGAAAACATGTGACAAACTGGCACTAGTATAATGTTACCCACACGTGAGTCATAAAATGTAAATATATTATTTTTTCTGTTTGCAAATTTAAATAGGAATATGTTATTCTTTTTCTTTTGTTCTAACACAGTATTTACCTACACTTCAGACGTGTTCAGCGATATTTGGGGGATGCGTCTGGCACAAAAATTGATTGCAAAACGCTGCAAATCTGACGTGAATGCTATGCTGAAAATATCAAAAATTTACTTCCGGTTTACTGAACCCATAATTTCATCTAGCCTTGATTTCCAACGAAGACAGCAGTTACGACGAAACTTTAGGTTGTAAAGTATGCCATACTGTTTTACAAGCAGTGATTGAGAAAGATAAAGCACAAAGATCGAAAATTATTGACGAAGAACAAGAAAAACCATAGCCCAAACCTTTGATGCCCGCCATCTTGGATCATGTGACCATTCATCAATGGACTGTTCCATGTGGACAGAGGGGGGGATCCTTGGCAGAGTTACGCAGCAGAAAAATCTTTGTGTGTTTATGTTTTGAGGGCTTCTTTGGCTCGATACAGCTTCCAAAAGTACATGGAGGTTCTTTGATTCTCTTTCTTGGAAGCGTCATCGAAAAAATCGTTCCCAATGTTTTCTCTTCTTTACCCTCTAAATATATGAATAAAGACATTAAAAGTTAAAGGATGTGTTAAACTTAAAGAACATAACATAACATAACATAATAATGGTCGGATAAAGAAGTATAAATAAGTAATAAATAATAATAAAGAAGTAATGAAAGTAAAACGAAGCAGAAAAAAATGGAGCTGAGTCCATTAAGGAGGCAAATAGAAAAAAAACGAAGAAACAATGGATTTCAAAAGTTGAAAGAAAAACAAAAGTTATCGTCTGGCGTAATCTGCTAAGAGCTCTAAGATTATTCGAGAGAAAAATAACAATTATTCCACCTTTAGATTTTGTATTTCATATCATCATAACTTCATTAATTTTAGCCATTTTTGGAAGAGCTCCCAGAAACAAATGACAGAGTTCAAGCTATAAATGAAATCCAAAAAGGGTGATGACTTGAAAAAAAAAATAGAAGAAAACAAATCAATAGACGTAGTAGCTCAGTCTCATGACTAATAAGCGTGTGACATCACCAGAAAACAGGGTGTTTTCAACTCTTGACAACAAGTTATATTTTTAACGGGATGACGTCATCCTCGACTTGGTCGAGACTGTTCGGTAATATTCGGGAAGTTCCGAAGACACGTGTAATGTCTGGACTGTAACACTTTTCCATCATAGGGGATAAAACTTTTTTGTTTAAGTTAAAAACGTGTGTTGAATAATAAACTGAACAATTAAGCCGATGATTCTTATTTCTATAATTGTTTATAATAGAAGGTTTTAAAATTTTATAGCAATATATTCCTTTTAAGCTAAAATAAAAACAGTTCTAAGCAACTTTACTGTTTGATCATCCACCGTCATTCAATGGACGAGACCAACTAATTTGCATATACCGGCAGCCATATTGAGTTTTGTAGTGCGTAGCCGGGCAGATTTCAACCGAAACTTTTGAGAGAAGAGGACATAAAAAGCTATAAAATGGCAGGACCACAACCAAGGTATGAACCGTATGGTCATCTGTATATATTTAGGACAAAATAACGAATGTAGGTCAACGGATCTCGGTCAGTTGGCTAGTATTTCGCCGTTTTTGTTGGTCAGTTCATTATGAACTGAGCTACCGAACATGTGTTTAGATTCGTCGGCCGTTCCGCACATTCGAGTGTTTTTTCGACAAAATCTCTTCATTTTGTTGACAATGGAGAAGGTTTCTTGTAGAATGGATATCCAGAATCATATTCTCAAGCGAAGATTTTAAATTTGTGAGGTAAAAACGGTAGAAAACGGTCGTCCTTTGTGAGTCGTGTGGTGACGGTTCAATTTTTGGTCAGCGCCATCTTGGATCAGACGATATTCTCCCAGATCGCGTCAGGTTGTGTGTTTTGGCTAGCAGACGACCCAAATGCCCCCTTTGCTGACCAAAATAAGCCTCTGTCAGGTTAAAGCGACGTTTTCTGAAGCGACAAAGGGCTTCCTTAGCATTTCAAAGAAAACGGAAGCCAACTTGACCGATAGATCCTTTTGTTCTGTCCATCAAAAAGAACGTGGCACAAAAACCGAAACCAAGTTATGCAATCATGACAAGGGTGTTTTCCCTCTAAGTAAAAATACGTGTCTACATACAGTGATTTCCTTGAGATTAAGGTTAAGAAGTTACTATTTGCAGTAAAACTGGGTTTCTTGTTCTCAGAAATGATAGCGTCTTTGTTTTCATTCGTCATTGACACATCTTCGTCCATATCCGGTCTTACATGTTGGGTATGACGTCATATATCAGCTGATTCGGCAGCGTTCCATTGGTAGAGTGAAGTGGCCGAAAGAAATCTGTGTCATCCAGATTTTGCTTTCCTAAAAAATGGTGAAATCTTGTGTGAAAAATTGCCATGTAGATCCTTGAGCCCCATGAATGAATGATTTTGTGTATCACAAGCATGTTAAAACTACACTGGACAAATAATGTTATTGATTAATTATCAAGTATGATGAAGAAAAATACATCAAAACATACCAACTATCATTACACAACACTTTACTAAAAGATTAAAGATTACAAAAACAACCTTGTTGGAAAAGTGACAGCGAAAAATAAAGTAGTCTTGCCTTGGTCCAAAAACTGGTGTAATTATACAGAAACAAGGCCAAACACCTGAGGGACAAGGTGTTTTTGTAAGCAAGGAAGTTGCACTATAAAAGCAATAAATTTGTCTAGTGTAAACCATTGGGGCTCAAGTCTATTGTAGTATATGTTTTTATAATGTGTGGAGTACAACTTCAGCTAAATTTGTTGCTTAGTATTCCACTATGCATTGCTGCAATTTGGATAAATTCAACCCTTAGGCCACACCAATTTAATTTCTTGGTTAACGGATTTTTCAAGAAAAATAATGGAGCGGGCGGGCGAAAAAAATAAAATAAAACAGGCCTAGGCATCCTATTATGGCCCAAAATGGTACGATAGGAGCCATGAAGTCAACACACCAGGCTGGTTCAAAATTTAAACAATGAATTTTGAACTTTTAATGATACTACTGCATTGAAAGATGGAATGACTGTAACAAGTAGTAAAAAAAAAAGGACTGTTTTCAACTGTTCAGGGCAAAATATGAGCATTTTTGCAATTGATTCTGAATTTTTATTTTTATTTGCAAATCAGAAAAAAATGAAGCGGCGAATCCGTTAACCAAGAAATTAAATTGGTGTGGCCTTACCATAGCCTGAGTGCCAGACTTTTGTCAGGGCCAGTATATAGGCTAGCTCCTCAGCTCCAGGGCCAACATGTCCCCAAGGAAACTTTACCACAGACCTCCTCAGTTAGACCCTGAACAACAGGTGTAAGTGGAGACTCACCGGCCTCTGTACAGGCCCTAGGAACAGTGTGGCATCCAGGCTACCCTTACTAGTCTGGATTGTATCTAACAAATAAAGTCCTGTGAAGTTTGCATCAACTTGATCATCAAGAGATAGGTAGCTACGTCTGTAGCTTCGTCATTGGTAGCTACATCTGTATCTGTGTCAGTATAGCTGGTATAACCGTCCTTTAGCATAACACACCAGCTTCGCATGCGGCGCGGCGGCAGCTGCTACATTACTGTGAAGTTACACCTAACCTTTTCACATTTAATTGCAGGAGTTGTTAAACTTAAAGTTAAAGCTTTGGCTCCAAAACAAAGAATGGATCTTAACTCTTTTTTCATGTTCCCTCCTCAGCCAAGATGAGCTGTCGACAGCCATCCTGAAACAGAAGTCCAAACCCAACCGTCTGCTGGTGGAAGAGGCAGTGAATGAAGACAACAGCGTCGTCTCCCTCTCACAGGTAAACATGCCTGTTTTTTTCTTATCTGCTGGACAGAGCTGCCTGGAAATGTGGTGTGGAAACTAGCCAACAGCTGCCCACTCATGTGTCGAAGACCCCATAGGACTAGTTTAATCAAATACTGTATACTAAGTACAAATGTACTGCTACTATTGTAAATGTTTTGACTTATATAAGTTTTGAGTTTGTGGGGACTCAATTTCGCTGAAGGAGAGGAAATGAGGTGTTGGTGGTGTTTAGGTTTGCAGTTGAAACAACCATATTATAGTTATGCAACTGAAGGCAGAGCATATGTTCACAAAAACTTCACATTGTGATGCAATCATGGTGAAAGATTGCCAAAACCTGATGAAATTGTTTACAAAAGCTTGTTGTTTCACGTACACACATTTTCAAAAGATGTAGACCATGTACATGTAATTTAGAAAAAATTATTTCTTTAAAATGTTTTCCCAAACCAGGCAAAGATGGACAAAATGCTGCTACCACGAATATAATTACAAAGTGATTTACAGTATTCTTTTTAAAAATTGAACCAAACCAGGCTAAGATGGACGAGTTGCAGCTGTTCCGAGGAGACACGGTTCTGCTGAAGGGTAAGAAGCGTCGGGAGACGGTCTGCATCGTCCTGTCCGACGACACCTGCCCTAAGGAGAAGATCCGCATCAATCGCGTGGTGAGTTTGTTTGTTGGTCACCATGTAACACGGCCGTTAGGCCACTTGAAGGCTGGTTAACCACCTGAATGGTATCACCTGAATGGCATTACCACCTGAATGGTATGACCACTCACCTGGGTTACGGGTTACCGAGTATTACTGTAACAGCAACTCTTCTCCCTGAGTCAGAAACATCATGATTGAGACCAGCCCAATTTCTCACAAGTAGTGAGGACTAACTGACCCAATAGGAGAAGCAGGGGTTACGAGGCTGGTCAGGAAAATTCCCTACCCCATTTTTAGACCTTAATGGTTTGTTCCACTTCCGCTCACGTGGGTTCATTAACTATTCATTATCCACTGCCTTCAAAGAAGAAGTCGAACCCCATAATAGCTAGCGTAGTAGTAGACGTAGAAGTTTTTCCAGACAGTTGTTACCTGTCTCCTGTTACTGTATTGCAATGAGTATTTTACTTGATTGTACAAGCAATTACTAAATTAGCCTTCACTTCAGGCATGATTTTGCAAATAAAGTTATTATAAAACACACACATTATTTCCAGGTGAGGAACAACCTGCGCGTCCGTCTGGGCGACGTGGTCAGCGTACAGGCCTGTCCCGACGTGAAGTACGGCAAGAGGATCCATGTTCTGCCTATTGATGACTCTGTGGAGGGTATTACAGGGTACGTTGGTTTGTTCTGTTCGCATAGAAACATGAAATGGAGGGAAAAAATTATCCTGCCTGTTGATGCGCAATTTGTTTCTTTATTCCATTGACATAGAAAGATGAAACTGAGAAGTATGAAAATTTGTGCAGGAGAATGTATGCACGAATAGGCTTATAATCCCTTTAGTTCAATTCATTTGTAACATGAATACTTGTTACAGCAATAGGGTTTCAACAACATGTTCTTGATCCATGAAAATGTGTGCCAGTAAGCTAAAGTTGTGTTCTCCTGTATTTTCTGTGCAGGAACCTGTTTGAAGTGTACCTGAAGCCTTACTTCCTGGAGGCTTACAGACCTGTGCACAAAGGTAAGATCATTGTTGAAAGCATTACAAGGCATATGTCTATTACATTCTAACCTTCATCATCAGCCTTTTTAGGGTATAATAATTTTAGTAATGGAAACATACATGTATAGGAAGGCATGGATCTTTTTTTAACCTCCATTCCTTACCCAGCACTTGGGAACTGCACCATTTGCTGCATTTATGTGGAGGGAAAGAAAAACTCTGCTGCTGTAAGGGCAATAACACATGCCAGGGTGTGGTTGCTTGGTAGCGGTAGTGATAGGTTTATGTTAGATAAGAAAATTTAGACTGTCTTTGTCACCAACTTTTAAAGTCAAACCCAGATAAGACTCAGCTAGTGACTATATATAATTTGCATGTGAATTTTTCAAGGTATTTTGAGCTCTGAAATGGCCACGTCTTAGTCTATATTCAGACCACTTGGCCATTGCTGCCACTTTTTTGGGGTCTTTTAGTTTATTTTTCAATTTACGCCCATTCCCTTGTTGAAACACAGGCAGACACAGAGACACACACAGACACAGACACTGATAGACAGCCCAAAAACAATACTTAAGTACCTCACTACCTTGGAAAAAATTTGGCTTGAATGTACTAGTAGCTTAGATTTGATTTAATTCATAAAGAAGGGAGGCGTGGCCTGGAAGTAAGTCTGATCAGACTGTTCCAAAACTTCCTAGACACAGACACACAGACACCGACAGACAGACAAACCAAAAACAACACTATACTATCTTGGGTTGAACAAAGAACACAAACTGACTAAGAGATAGTCATGAGATGAGATGTACCTAAACTGACTCCTCTTCCTGTCCCCCAGGTGATACATTCCTGGTCCGTGCGGCCATGCGACCTGTGGACTTCAAGGTGGTGGAGACGGACCCGTCCCCATACTGTATCGTGGCTCCCGACACCGTTATTCACTGTGAGGGAGAGCCCATCAAGAGAGAGGTAGGGCAGGTCATACCATCAGAGGCTTGGGAAGGGGGGTTATTTGTATGCAAGGTGTTTAGTACAACAAACCAACACATTTTGACATTTTTTTAGAAAAAGAAATCTTTGGAGGAACAACCATCATCAGAACAGAAGAAAATATAATTTTTTATAGTTTGAATTTCAGAATCTGATTTCTTGAACCATGTTTTCCTTATATTGAAACTGAAGAAGTCTTATAAAACTAAAAAGTCATAAAACACAATCACATAAAATGAGACCCTCAAAAATTTTCTGCAGAAAACCAACTCATCTAACACTAGAATCCTTGAAAGTTGAGAAGTCACTGTGCCCTTCATTAGACTATCACCAACTTACCTGTAGCAAGTTCACACCAAAGAATCATCTACTACAAGCCCCTTTTCATATCCTAAGAATGTGATGATGTGACACAAAACCCTTTTTTCTACCTGCAGGACGAGGAAGAGGCTCTGAATGAGGTTGGTTATGACGACATCGGTGGAGTCCGTAAGCAGCTGGCTCAGATCAAGGAGATGGTGGAGCTCCCCCTCAGACACCCCGCACTCTTCAAGGCTATCGGAGTGAAGGTGAGGTTGAGGAAGAAATGTTTAATCTGGAAGTTTAGGAAGGATGCTGAGGATTTAAAAGTGTTTGAGGATTTAAACAACTTTGGAACAGAACATCTCTGTAAGTTTAAAAAATACAGGTTGCAAAGACACACTGCACTCTTCAAGTTTATGGGAGTCAAGAAAAGTTTTATTGAGGATTTGGAAGATTAGCACTTACAGCAAACGTAGCACTTAAATACATCGTAAAACATTAGAACCATACAGACATAACAATTGAAATGGTATATCCATGAAGCTAGTATACAAAATGAATCAAGCAACTTCTTAAATTCTCTGAGGAGTCAGGCATTTCAGGCATCCAGTATCTTTTATCAGTGACTGAGAATGAAAGCTTCTTCAGAAAATTTATCCAGTGTCTTGATTTATTTTGTATCATGTATTGTTCTGTATGGATATGAAATCTTCATCCAAATCCCATGTGAATTGTTTCTTAATTTAAAATCGTAGAAATGTAGTAACATTCAAGACATATTTTTACAAAATCCTCTCCCTCCCCCCCCAGCCCCCGCGTGGAATCCTCCTGTACGGCCCGCCCGGTGTGGGGAAGACTCTGATTGCCCGAGCCGTGGCCAATGAGACGGGAGCTTTCTTCTTCCTCATCAACGGTCCAGAGATCATGAGCAAACTCGCCGGAGAGTCAGAGAGCAACCTCCGCAAGGCCTTCGAGGAGGCTGAGAAGAACGCCCCGGCGATCATCTTCATCGATGAGATTGACGCCATCGCTCCTAAGAGAGACAAGGTTGGTAATGTTTCCTCTTATTACAAAAGCACAAGAAGACATACATAAACAAGTAGATATTTATTAGTGAGAGTAACCTGCGCAAGGCCTTCGAGGAGGCTGAGAAGAACGCTCCGGCAATCATCTTTATTGATGAGATTGACGCCATCGCTCCTAAGAGAGACAAGGTTGGTAATGTTTCCTCTTATTGCTCAAGAAGACATACAGAAACATAAGTTTGTTAGAGTAACCTGCGCAAGGCCTTTGAGGAGGCTGAGAAAAATGCTCCGGCGATCATCTTCATTGATGAGATTGACGCCATCGCTCCCAAGAGAGACAAGGTTGGTGATATTCCCTTGTATTGCCTAACACAAGAAGACAGACAGAAACATTGTAGATGTTTATTAGAGTAGCCTGCGCAAGGCTTTCGAGGAGGCTGAGAAGAACGCTCCGGCGATCATCTTCATCGATGAGATTGACGCCATCGCTCCCAAGAGAGACAAGGTTGGTGATATTCCCTTGTATTGCCTAAAACAAGAAGACAGACAGAAACATTGTAGATGTTTATTAGAGTAGCCTGTGCAAGGCTTTCGAGGAGGCTGAGAAGAACGCGCCGGCAATCATCTTTATTGATGAGATTGACGCCATCGCTCCTAAGAGAGACAAGGTTGGTAATGTTTCCTCTTATTGCTCAAGAAGACATACAGAAACATAAGTTTGTTAGAGTAACCTCCGCAAGGCATTCGAGGAGGCTGAGAAAAATGCCCCGGCGATCATCTTCATTGATGAGATTGACGCCATCGCTCCTAAGAGAGACAAGGTTGGTAATGTTTCCTCTTATTGCTCAAGAAGACATACAGAAACATAAGTTTGTTAGAGTAACCTTCGCAAAGCTTTTGAGGAGGCTGAGAAAAATGCTCCGGCGATCATCTTCATTGATGAGATTGACGCCATCGCTCCGAAAAGAGACAAGGTGCTTTCTTGCTCTTGCAAGACATACTTTCTTTTATGAAGGCCATGACTTTTTTCTTTTTCCTTCCATCTGGGTCTATCCTTGACCATCTTCTTAACTGATCACCAGGATAATTAGGTGGATTTCAGAACAATTATTACTGAAAATGCTCACCTCTGTTGGTAAATAAGCATAATGAGCAAAACATGTTCATAACTTTTTCCACTTTTATACATAAATTCATTGAAGCATTCAGAAATATGTTCAGTATATTTTAATAGTCTGTATGTTACAAATTTGCATTTTTTTTAACAACACTGTGTCGATATTAAATGCAGGCAACACTCTGCATTATTGTCATTCATCAGTAAAAGATGGAGAAAGTCATGTTAATCTACTGAAATTTTCCCCCCAGACCCACGGTGAGGTTGAGCGCCGAATCGTGTCCCAGCTGCTGACTCTGATGGACGGACTGAAGCAGCGCGCTCACGTGGTCGTCATGGCAGCCACAAACAGACCCAACTCCATCGACGCTGCGCTCAGGCGCTTCGGTGAGCTTTAGAGCAATCCATCCTGCCCGTATAAAGTAGAGTGGATTCATTCCTCAAGATAACCGACATCTCGCACACGCAGTCGTCCCTCAGTAAGACATCTGGAGCCGCATAGTTCCCGCTTAGCATGTAGCTTACTGGCCCCTTGAGCACACTGCCTCCCCACTTTGTGTGCCATCACTTTGGCATGTAGGGCAGCAACAAAATGTCTCTGATTCCTTCTTGTCCTGGGCTGCTCTCAGGATACTGTCCCATGAGTAGTTGAAAGTCTCCAGCTCTTGAGCAATGGGCAGTAGACACTGAGACAAAAACATGGCGATCCTGCTTTCTAGCAACCCTACATTGTGATTGCAGTCTTTCATCTAGTATAAGTGTATTTCTACCTGTGATTTCCTTTGAAAAAAATTGTGACCTCCATTCCTTACCCAGCACTTGGGAACTGCACCATTTGCTGCATTTATGTGGAGGGAAAGAGAAACTCTGCAGTTGCTATGGCTTTACCACTTCTTGGTGGTATTGCTCAAGTAATAGCAGTGAACATATGAACATATGAGCATGGGACATTTGGTAGGGTGTCTCTGTACTAATAGTTCCTGCGTGCTTGACCGTAGGTACAATCTGTGCTGAAACAACATTGCACAATTAGCTACAAAAAAGCATTTACATTCAACCCACTTGGCCATAGGGCTATAGCTTTAACATGACACAAAACTTGACACAAAAGTTCTCTAAAATATTATTTTTTCTTTGTTGTCCAGGGCGTTTTGACCGTGAGGTTGACATCGGGATCCCGGACGCCACCGGCCGCCTGGAGATTCTGCAGATCCACACCAAGAACATGAAGCTGGCCGACGACGTGGACCTCGAACAGGTCAGTTGTTCTTACAAGATGTCTTTGAAGTACATTCTTCACTTGAAGGAGGAGTGAAAGAACAGGATGAAGCTTTGTGAGATGGAATTTCTCCCTGTACAGCCTTATTCTCAATTTTGAATTGTTTACCTTACTTTGTGGTACTAATTGTTCAAACTATGTTACCTTAAACACTATCGTACTGATTTTGGTAAGATGTTGAAGCACTAGCTCTCTTTTTGATCAATTTGGTATAAAGAAGAAGGGTACAGTATCCATGATAGGAAAACCTTTGAGTTTGTTGACAGGCTTGGCTGTCCTGTATCCATTGACACTTGAATGTGTTTTGCTCCAATGGTTCTGTCTGATTTGAACTGATATTTTATTCCTGGTTGCTTCCTAGACCACCATGGCCCCAGACATGTCTTTCCTATTTTTCAAGGACTTATTTGTGTGACAGTTGTGATGATATTTTGATAATTTTTACCCCAGGTTGCGTCTGAGACCCACGGCCACGTAGGTTCTGACCTGGCTGCCCTGTGCTCTGAAGCCGCCCTGCAGCAGATCAGAGAGAAGATGGACCTGATCGACCTGGAGGATGAGAACATCGACGCTGAGGTCCTGGACTCTCTGGCTGTTACCATGGAGAACTTCAGGGTAAGTTTACATTAAAGTATCATCACAAAATATACTGGGCCTGCACAAAATCTTTTTTCTATTTTTAATGGTTTTCATTGGATGTTTGGTCAACGTTGCCTCAGAAATTTGCTGTTGCAGACAATATCTTTTCTGACACAACATTCCAAAACTATAGACAGAATGTCATCCTTAACTACACGAATACAACCTTGAACGAAACGTTCTGCTGACGTGCTATGCTACTTCAGTGACACTGTTAATAGTGATTAATTTGTAGTATCTGTTGAACAGTATGCTGTAGGCCAGAGCAACCTCAGAGATTTAGACACTCTACCATAAACCTTCTCCTTGCTGCTTAACTCTGTAACCAGTACTGCAATAGAGAATTAGTAGTCTAATGGCAACTTTAGTGTACTAATATTTAACTTGTCCTGTCTGTCCTGCAGTATGCCCTGGGCCAGAGCAACCCGAGCGCCCTGCGAGAGACGGTGGTGGAGGTGCCCAACACGACATGGGAGGACGTCGGCGGGCTGGACAACGTCAAGAAGGAGCTGCAGGAACTCGTGCAGGTAAGCCTTCCTACAATTAATTTTTAACAAGCTGTTCTGTATCTGTATAGGTGCAGGTCAGTTTTGCGGATGTTTTTTCAAGTCATTGGTATCATTAAAATCTCTGCATTAACAGTAATAACAGTTCTGATTTCCTGAAGGAAACCTCTCTGATTTTAAGTGCAGGGCTTGAATTCTGACCTGCATACATAGGTTCGTGCAGGTAAAATAGAGACTGTGCAGGCTAGGTACTTCTGATGTCTACCTGCACTTGTCTATGTACTGGGTTTATACATACATGTATATCATTTTCATGTGCCTCATTGACTGTTGCCACCTGAATTGAAATGTAAAAGAATGTGTCAGTAGTTTCTAAACAGCTTCTTGCATGATCCATACTTCCTAAATTCTGAGTGGTGCAGGTACAATGTATCTAGTGCAGGTAATTTTCAATGTCACTAGCACCAGTGCAGCTTTGGAGAAAGGGTATTATGAGCCCTGAAATGTATTTTCTTGTTTTTCCCAGTACCCCGTGGAGCATCCAGACAAGTTCCTGAAGTTTGGCATGACTCCATCGCGAGGCGTTCTGTTCTACGGACCTCCCGGCTGTGGTAAGACCCTGCTGGCCAAGGCCATCGCCAACGAGTGCCAGGCCAACTTCATCTCCATCAAGGGCCCTGAGCTGCTCACCATGTGGTTTGGAGAGTCGGAGGCCAACGTCAGGGATGTGTTCGACAAGGTGGGTGCAAGTTTTTTCATCTATATTATCCTTCAATCTACATAAGATAGCAACCAGAGCAAAGAATGCTATCACTGTCCACTGCTGAGGACCTTGGCATCATTGAATTTCTGCCTATCTCTGATATTTAATGTAGTCAAGGGAATGGTAGGGACTCTGATGTTTGCCAGTCCATGTCCAGTTGTCTTTTGTTGATCTGACAAACCTTAAAACCCTGCTTCTATGTCTTGATTGTAGTAACTCTAACAAAGCATAGTGAAAATTAGGAATTGCACACATAAACGTGTTATTTCAGACATGTTCCCTTTTTCCTTACCTGAGAGGCAAGAGTGTTGATCCTTGTTTTCTATTCTTCCTTCCTGAAGTGTAAAATTATTCTCTTCTTCCCATCGCAGGCCAGACAGGCGGCTCCCTGTGTTCTGTTCTTTGATGAGTTGGATTCCATCGCCAAGTCTCGAGGAGGCAATGTTGGAGACGGAGGTGTGTTTTTAATATTAGACAGCTTTTAGTCAATTGCTTTCTAGACAATTGTTCCTATATATGTGCTGTAATTTCTTTACCTGTCGGTTTGATTTTGTATCCTAAACTGTGCTTTATATGGAATCATGTTCTGGGATGGTTTTAGACAGCCAAATCTAAGGTCTTGGATACTTGATGACTATGCAGAATGATGTCTGACTCTAACTCTAACCCATTCACACATAGAACAGCAACTACATAGGCACAGTTTTGGATAGTCCAGTGTATCCAGAACTGTGCCTGGGGCAAATCTATGTTCATGGATACGCAGACTATCCAGAAACGTGCCTGATCCTAACCTTAACCCATTCAGGCACAGAACTACATAGGAACGGTTCTGGATGCAATACCTATTTTTGTTTGGCTCACTACCATTCACCAACCTGCACTTCCCTCGCCAATTCCTAGGTGGCGCAGCTGACCGTGTGATTAACCAGGTCCTTACTGAGATGGACGGAATGACGGACAAGAAGAACGTGTTCATCATCGGCGCGACGAACCGTCCGGACATCATCGACCCGGCCATCCTGCGTCCGGGCCGTCTGGACCAGCTCATCTACATCCCGCTTCCCGATGAGCCCTCCCGCATCTCCATCCTCAAGGCCAACCTACGCAAGTCACCTGTCGCTAAGGTAACAAGCAGATTCATTCAAGTTTTGTCATAAGTTGGCCTTGGCCTAAAAAATAATCCCTGTGGCGAAGGTAACTAAGAGTTTTCAAGGCTCAAAATTCTCACCTCAGTCCTGCAATTTGCTTAAAAATCAATCACAATGCAGATGAAAAAGCAGTACAACTTGTAACTTTGCTAACATAAGACATATGCCTGGCTCTGTAGCAGAAGAACTGCTTTTTCTCCGTTTTAGGTGGACTTTGCCATTGCCTGTGTTTTTTGTTACCATTTTTAGTTTGTGAATGCTTGAGAGCTTGTGAATGGATCATACTAATTTTTCAGTTGTCATGCCTTGATCTAGAAATTACATTTTGAGTTTGTGAAAGTCCAGACTGAGCAAAAATATGTTTGTTGTTTACATGATGTACATCACCTTTCTGCCCTTCCTAGTTCAGAATATGTTTATTCATTTGTCTACTTATTTGTCTCTAGGATGTTGACCTGGGTTACCTGGCTAAGGTGACCCATGGGTTCAGTGGAGCAGATCTGACAGAGATCTGTCAGCGCGCCTGCAAACTGGCTCTTATTTATTTATTTGTTTGTTTGTTTATTCCTCTGTAGGATGTTGACCTGGGCTACCTGGCTAAGGTGACCCATGGGTTCAGTGGAGCAGATCTGACGGAGATCTGTCAGCGTGCCTGCAAACTGGCTCTTATTTATTTGTTTGTTTGTTTGTTTGTTTATTCCTCTGTAGGATGTTGACCTGGGTTACCTGGCTAAGGTGACCCATGGGTTCAGCGGTGCAGATCTGACGGAGATCTGTCAGCGCGCCTGCAAACTGGCGATCCGGGAAGCCATCGAGGAGGAAATCAGGAACGAGAAGGCCAGGAAGGACAACCCAGATCTCGACATGGTTAGTTTAGGGCCAAAACAGCCATCTACAGTTAGTTTTGTATACATTTGCATTCTCTGTGTGCTTGTCTAGTGCCAAAGCTGTTATGCTTAGGTGTGGTAAGTAGGGCTTCTTGTTTTATTTTGCCTAAGTAGTAAACTGCCTCTAGGCGTAACACATCAGTTTGTACAGTAAGTACAAGCTGCTAAAAGAGTGGACTATAAGGTTTGAACCACTCAAAGTAGCCACCTACACTTTTTTGGTGGAAGTTTGCCTTTTCTAGTGTTGAGCCATGCCAAGGTGTAGAGGTTTCAGCACAGATTCTTCAGTTATTTACTGGATATGTAGGAAAGCCTTTTAATGTTTGTGTATTATATGTCTATTTCTGTCTTCAAAGAAAAGTTAGTAGAAAAATATGCATATTGCTATGAATATGACAAGTTGCATAATGCACTGTTTCTGTGCCACAAGTGATTTCTGATGCAGTACCGTTTGCGTTCGCTAGGAGGACGATTACGACCCCGTGCCTGAGATCCGAAGGGACCACTTTGAGGAGTCGATGAAGTTTGCGCGCAGATCGGTGTCGGATAACGACATCCGGAAGTATGAGATGTTCGCACAGACGCTGCAGCAGAGCAGAGGCTTCGGCGGAAACTTCAGGTGCGTTGGTTTGTTTGTTTGTTATGTGTACGTGTGCACCTTGGAAGAAGCAAAAAGGAAAAAAAAATTTGGTCTGTTTCCTCCTCCTCATCTTCTTTCTTCCAACCAAATAAGGTTAATTACCTGGAACAGACATCTGTCACCATAGTAACTGGAGTTTAGCAGACACCATGGGGTGTTTACATTATGTAGCAAGTGGCAGGACAGAGATGGAGGAGGAGCTGGTCACCATATTTATATGTGCAAGAATACACAGAGCAGTAAGGCTAGACCATGCAAAGGTAAACATGCTTGCCTGTCTAGTTTGTTGGAGCCTTTGTTCATGAAGTACTCATGGATCACAGTATGTAGCAAGTGGCAGGACAGTGTTGGGGCACATTTACATGAATTCTATGTGACTATATTATGAGTGTTTTTGAGTAAATATAAACAGAGCAGTAGTTTGTTTGGCTAGACCACGTGAAAGTACTTTGCATATGTTACCTTTGTACTTTGTTTCAGCGCTTGTTTATGCATGAACTACTCAAATTATCCTGCTTCCAACAACGCAATTATTATATAACTTCTGCATAATTAGTGGGTTTTGTGATCTTACTAGGAACGTAGTCTTATGGTGATCTAAATGACAAAAGGATGCTGAAATTGTTGTAACTGTCTGAAATAATTTGTTTCTGCGGTCTCATAGTGAAGACACTGGCTAACAAAATGTGTTTCATTTTCCACTACATTCATTGGGCAATATTTACATAATCTCTCGTGCACAGGTAGTTTTCTATAGTGGCCTTTTTCTATCTCTAGCGGTGTCAAAGTCATTGAGGTATAGGTATTTTTCCATAATAACAATTCCCCACTTCTCCCCCAGGTTCCCCGGCCAGGCGGGCCCCAGCGGCAGCCAGGGCGGCGGTGGCACCGGTGGGGACAACCTGTATGAGGAGGGAGACGACGATCTGTACAGTTAGACTCTTCCCAGCATCCTTCACTCCCCCACCCCCCCTACAGCAGCAGCCAGCTTACCGTATCTACTCCAATAAACGCAGACCAACACTTTCTGTAAATTCGTGAAATGTTTGCGGCCTTTTTTTCTCCAATAAATGCAGACCAACACTTACCGTAAATCTTGGAATGTTTGCGGTGACGGTTTTATTTTCCGCAAAATCATTACACTGCAAACATGTGTTCTGTGTTTCTACTACACATAACCTCAAACTTCAAACTCCTTTTTTTTCCTCATAGTCATACATGCAAAGTAAAACCACTGCAAAAGTAAATCTATTTATAGTAATACTGGGGCAGGGATTTTTTTTCTCTTTCGCAGCCATGCTAGTTTAACAAGCATTGCTTGAATCTAAACAAGGTTTAAAAACCTCCCTGATCTAAAATAGTGTATTAACTCCCATGTTCACTTCTGGACTGCAAAGACGATATTTTTTGGTGTGCTGTTATTCGAGTGCATACGGTAACCATCCTCTACTTTCAACAAAGAGCCAGAAGAGCGCTTCCTCTTGAAAGAAACTGCATTTTCCTGTCAGTTTCTTGCTATCGAAACATTCATCTGGGACATTTTTTGGGCAGGGAAACCAAATCTTTCTCTAAAAAACCAAACCAGATTCTTCTGTTCCTCTGAACAGTCAAGTTGAAACAAAACCAGACTGAACTGAGTTCAGAGGATGTTGTAAGTAATATAGCTGCTGGCTTGCACTTCAAACTTTTGGTGGGGAAAAAATGGTATCTAAAATAGACAACATAATGGGAAAATGGTACCGGGGAAGTCATTGGATTGTAGCAAGTTTTGCACCAGACATGTACTGAGTATTGTTGAGGGGAATTGTATTTGTAGAAGGGGTTTAAGTATTTAAAGAATGAGTATGTAGTTTACAATTTAATGGGTAAAGATCTGTGATTAGAATTGTGATGAAATAATAATAATAATAAACCTGCTTCGAGTTATTATTATACATTTGTTTCTGAGAGCAGAATTAAAAACTTGGAATATAAAAAATACAATTCTATGTGATGTTATGAGCGCACTATGTACTTTCCGTTCGTCTTTTTTCCTTGTCAAAATACTGTAGTAGAATAAGAAAAATGAAGCATATCTCATTTCATATGGAATAGTAGGTAATATGTGACTGATTTGTGGATTTCTACTGTTGGATTCTTCTGTATGTAGCGAAATTTTGCTACAGTCACTGTCTCCATTCTGTTGTTACAACCCTGTGAAGAGTTACTATCGCCTTATATGTATAATACTATGGACGTTCTTATTAGATGCTTGAAATGTACCAAACAAAGTGTGTGTGGATCTTTCTGTTGTGGAAGTATTGTTTTGGGTGGCCGAGCTGTGGGTTTGTACTCTCCAAGCAGAGGTTGTGGAGGAATGATCGTTAGCTTTTTATTATATATGGCCGTTGTTTTTTGTCTCTACCCCACCCGTCAGTGGCCGCGGAGCTTCTCTGGCTAATGGATACTGCCAGGCCAATTTGATACTGTCTTTTTGCCACCCTAGGATCTGCTTTGAAAATTAATGGGTTTGTGTATCTGTCTAGACAGACCAAGTTGACAGCACATGGATGGGTGGGGGAAGATTGACAGGCAAAATGATGGCAGGTTAAAAGGTCAATTGGAAAATGGGGTGAGCATGAGAGTAGGTTGATAATACATGAATGGGAAGATGGACAGGCATTGTATTTTCACAGGGAACGTATGGTAAGTTACTGTCTCCTTATAAAGTTTTGAGTCTAGATTGTCTTTCTACTTTTGCCCACGCACTAGATTGAAAAACAAAACTTCTAAGACTAATTTTTCAGACAATATTAGGTCTGCATGCAGCAGTAAGATTGGTGAAGGTTTCATCACATGACTAGCGGGGATGATGTTATTACAGATGAATTGTCTCTTTCTCACCTCTGCCTTAGACAGGTGTAAAATCAAGAGGTAGAATCTGAGACCTTAAGGTAAGCCTAGTCCTTAAAGTAAAGTTTGTAGTAAGTTACATATCTTTCCGTGACAAAGGATACTGCTAGTACCTAAGGGAAGAAGAGTTAGTAAGAGGAAAATTTTAAGTTTAAAACGTGTAGAATTACTGAAAACGTCTGGCGGTTTAATATTAGTATGCACTAGCAGTATGTTCTCTTCGACTAGTTTATCCGAAAAGGCGAATGTTGTTTTCGTATGATCGCGTCTGTAAAACGTAAGAATATCTATATTGCACAAGAAAACGGGTATAAAATATGCATTTATTCATGAATGGCAGCAGCCAATGCTGAAAGTACAGATAGTGAACGTGACCATCATACGTACACAACTGATCAAACGCCCACTTTCTCATCAACTATCCAAAAGAACAGCAGACAATCAAGCTTTCTCATTTTCCTGCTTCTTCACAGGTGAAGTGATACAGTAGAAGCTACGCATTTCTCCCAGACATAGTCGCAGTTTTGCTCTGTAAAGGTATGTGTCGGTTCTTAACTTTCCTGTCCGAGAATTTAAACCATTCTTGCTTCTAGTTCTGGCATGGCTAGATATTATTCACGTTTAGATGGCTTTTCCGTGGGTTTGGCTTGGACGTTTGTCATTGATTGTCATGTATTGAACCTAAGAAATATTTCATGGTCAGCTTAACTGTAGTTTACGGCTAAGCAAGATATAGCTTGGTCATATACAGGAGAACTCAACTGTCATTACATAACAGTTAATACTGTAATGATTTAACAGGGCTTTTCATCAGATAAGGCCGTTGAAAAAAGACAATTACACAGTTTAATGCCTAGGTATTGCTAATTCTAATCATATTGTTTGCGGCTTCTAGTAGACGAGAGGAAGGCTGTTTGTGACAAAAGATCTGATACCTCTGGCCCGCAGACAGAGAAAAGGGGTGGCGGAGACAACTGAGAAGGCGGCGAACATGAAGTGGGAAGGCAAATCTTTCAGCATGATAGTTGTTCTGGTTTTGGTTCTAAACTTACCGTACAGTTTCGAGGCATCTGCACTTTCACAACTGGAATCTAAAGGTTGTAACGTTACTCGTTTTTTGGTTAACCCGCGAGACAGATTCACTTACGGAATTCCGTACTCCCACCTAGTGAAGACATACTGTAACAACAAGGGGTTGACAAGTGTCCCCGAAGAAATGCCACAAACTCTCTTTGAGCTCTATCTCCCAAATAACGCCCTCGCCACATTTCCTTGCATGCCCCTGCCCTATTTCGCCTTCATGAGTCTACGGAACAACTCTATAACTCACTTCCCCTGGACATGTCTGAAAAATATGCCAAGGTTAGAAATTTTGGATTTATCACACAATAAGCTCTTCTGTGTCAACCTCTACCCTGTCAAGACTTTCTTGCCCAGCTTAAAAATTGTGGACGTTTCCTTCAATGATATTAAGACACTGTCTATGTGTGATCTCGGGTTTGAAGGAAAGGTTGTGTCATATAAGCCTATCATTGCGGGAAACCCTTTCCACTGTGACTGCAACATAACCTGGATCTTTGATCAGGCGATAAATGTCGAAACGTGCCGAAAGAAAGCATCTCTAGATCTGGGATGCAAAATGTTTATGAGGGACAACGAAATAGCGCGCGCCATGTACAATAACCAGTCTTTGTTTCGCTGCAAAACGCCACCTATGCTAGAAAACGTCGAACTCCGCAGTTTGAACGAAAATATGTCACACTGTTATTCAAAGTGGGATCCAAAAGGCGCTAGTAACCAATTTCGCATGGAAAAGCGCTGTGATCCTAACAGTGTCTGCCCTACACTTCCCTCTGAAGCCCTGTTGCCACTAACAACCAGGAGTTCAGCACTAAGGACTGAGAAACAGAAACTGCAACATTCCGAAATGTATCAGATATCTGAAACCGCTACAATCGGTGTCTCGGCGGCAGCCAGAACCTCCAGTCGGGTGCTGTCAGCAACGTTTAAAGAAACGTCAGAAAAGGGTAACAGTACACAAACTCTGCCTGCGTCACAGACTCCGGTGACGTCAACACACACTCTGCCTACGTCACCGATGACGTCAGCCCCTGCCTCCGTTGCCGTGGCAACGGGCTGGGTGGTGACGGGGTCAGTGGTAGGGTCGATCGTTGCTCTCTGGTTTGTCATATTAGCCGTGTATTGTACAATTTCCAAGCAACAAGCTCGGGCGAACAACATGGCGGCTAGCGCTGGCCACGTTGTGAGCAATATGTTCTACCATCGGGCGGCTACCGTCCATCAGAAAAACCAAGCAGATGCACAGGACGGCTCTTGCAATGCTCCAAACTCAGACTCGGATGCCCACGAGTACGAAACTATACCTGATTACACATCACCCGAACCTTACGCAAGCTCGCCGTACGTTTTCGACGTTCCCCAATATCATATCGAGGAAATCGAAACTGCTGCAGGCGAAACTAGTCGTAAGGAGGAAGAAAATATCAGTACCTTAACTGGTCCAGACGCGCAGGCCTCTGAACCTACCAATGATAATGCGGAAGTTTCAGATAGCGATAAAGTTGATTCTCAGTCGCCAAACGCAGACAATGGCATGCGGGACCCTTCACTTGACGCAGTTGTACCTTACGCAAAGTCTCGTCATGTTTTCGACGTGTATGATCGTCAGAGTGCCGGTGGCAGTTCGGAAGGTTCCGAAACGTACGGAACCGACGTCACGACGCAAAACTCACCTGTCTATGCAGCTGGACAGGTGAAGAACGACACAAACACCTTATACTCTCAAAACTCTGAATGAGGTAACGTAACAGCGCTAGAGTTATCATAAACTGAAATTGCCCAAACCGCTTATACATGTAATGTCTTCTTTCTTCTTTGGTAATGATACATACATTTATAACATCAACTTTTACTCAAGGTTTCGTAGTGATAATTTGAACTTTTATTTGACAGTAGTTCTTAGAATGATTGAGCGTGCCATGTTTTCAATGAGAATCAGCAATCGTGTTTTGTGATGAGTGACGTAAAGCATAGTCTTGGACAGATGTAAATAAGACTTATTTTCTCTTAGCAAGGTACTAAAAACTATTTAGGATTGCAGAAGTAAAAGTGGCACTACGCTCAATTCTAAAGATATCTATCAAAGACTCGTACGTCCCAGCATTCAACCACAAGCAGTGCGCACGTGAAATTCCTTTAGACCCCGACTCAATCTACGAGTTACGTGACTGTGTTGTATCATGTGTATGTAAAATTGAGTAAACATTGATGTACACACAGATTGGTCTACTGTGACCAGTTACGCAAGCACTGAGCGGCACAGACAGTATAGTAGGCATTTCATCGGTCTCGAAGACCATGAAGAAGAACATACACAGACAATACATGAGAACAGATACTAGATCTTTCATCCAAAGCATCACCCACGCAGTGAAAAAAAGCAACAGCCAGTATTGTCACTATCGTATGGTTGCTTTATTTGCGGTAAAATCATTTCACATCCATAGGCTGAGCTTATCACATAACTCAAACCTAATAATTAACACACAATTACATGTACAATGCAATGCACTGGCCTTTAAACAAAAAGATGTGTGAAATTGTCTTCAGTACATATATAATACAGCATTTTCCGCTTAGTATTCTGCAGCACACCTCTTTCTGGTAATACATGTAGCTGGTCAACCAATATTGCTATCATTTATCAACATCAACAAGCTTATTATCTACTAATTGAAAAGTTCAAGTTATATAGCATGTTGGTCTTTGAATGTGCCTCATTCTTGCTAGAAGTGTACCTAAGAAAATGATCACAGGTTGTTCGCTGAAGTTCAGAGCCTATAGTTGGGGTATGGTACTAAAACGTCTAAATTGTTCTACCATTTGTTGGCACTTGAGAGCATGACCAATATCAGAAGAACATTGATCACACTACTTGTAGCCGTACAACTCGACACAATATCCGAACCAACTCGCTACAGCAATGTGTCCATCCTGTGTCAATGCGATTCCACGTGGGTCCGCTTCCTTCACAATGGCTACATTTCTCAGATACGTCCCGTCCGGCCTGAACACCTGTAGTCGGTTGCTACCCCAGTTCGCTACAATGATGTTACCTGCCGGGTCGAAGGTTATACCCGATGGGTGGTAGAGCTCTCCCTCATTCCGACCCCATTTACCGAACTTGACCTTCAGATTCCCCTCAAGGTCAAACACGCACACTTTATGACCGTCGCAGTCCGTGACAGAGAGAAGGCCACGTGATTCGTCCACCGCAATGAACCATGGGCCTTGTAGCTGTCCCTTGCCGATCTTTCGGATGAGGCTCCCGTCAGGCTGCAGGAGGAGACACGACTGCTGAGCGTCGTCTGCCACCACCATGCGGCCGTCCTTCAGAACTGCAACCCCGCGCGGATTTTGCAAACACTCGGGTTTCAGGATCTTCGCAAGCTCTCCTTCTGGCGAGTACACAAGGATTGCTTGCTTGCCAGTGTCGGATATGTTTCGGCATGTCACAATAAAGTGTCCGTCGGAGTCAATGTCAATGCCGAATGGATCTTCACCATCCACCGTGAACCACCGAAGCGACTGGCCGGTCTTGACGTCGAATATTCGAACCCGTTTCTTCCCGTTCTTTAGAACCGCGATGTTGCCATCCTTGCCCATTGCCACATCTACTGGGTGAGAGCCAATTTCTCCTCTTATGGTCAAGACTGGGCTGCGACTTCTTTGCACCCTGACGTCATACGGACTTCCCGCCACAGACTGACCCTTGACCGTGACCTCTAACCTATGGTTGCCCGTGAGCTCGGGTGTGTAGGAGATTTCCCACAAGCCCTTGCTCCTTTGTAAGTTTGTTTGTACCGCCTTGCCAAAGGGGTCCGTTAAAGTGACTTTGACGTCATCTTTAGCAACAACACACGAACGCCCTTGCCCATCGACTGTAGTGAGCAGGGCCACGTTTGAAAACTTTACAACGCCAGGCTTGACTTCCACTGAACATTTGGATGCGTCTACCCTCCCCGTGACTTGTACGCACCCTGCTTTGGCCACGGCCTCTCTGAACTCCGCCACAGCCGTCCCCTCCGAGAACACGACGTGACTCGGTCGGGCTGGAGTTGTCAGCAGCTCTTCGACCCTCTGTCGTGCTTGACCTTCGGACTCCGACGTGCTACTAGTATTCAGTCCGGCCAACTCAAACTCGATCGCTTCTTTCTGCTCTTCCAGACATTTTCCGACTTCCTGGCGACGTAAGCCTATTTCTCTGACGACTTCTTCTTTTCTGTCTTGAAGCAAGGCCATCAGGTGGTCGAAATATTCAGTGGCCTTTTCGATCGCTGCGTCTGCCGATGTTGGCAACTCTGATATTTCCGTCTCGACTTTTCCCAACAGTTCTTGTAGGTCTCGTTTCTTCCCCTCAGCGTCGACTTCTGCAATGTTGCTCGCCATTTTGTGTTGTTTGATAGTTTGTCAGTACAGGGCTTGTGCCAAAAAAGACGTTTTCTTTCCTAAAGCAGTGCACGCTCCAACCGAGCAGACCGTTTTGTGCTGCCCAGTGCAGGTTTCAAAGTTTGAAAGTGTGTTTACTCACGTACTTTTGTGTTTGCATTTAGTGACGTAGTTTCCATATATGCTGTATGAAGTAATCATATCGGACATTGACCTCGTCCTTTTCACCTTGATTCACATGTTCACCACGTGGCGTACACGTGAACAACAACAGGCAACGACGTGGGTCAGGGGTAATCTCCAAGCAGATCCCTAGCTTTTGGTGGGCATGGCAAGACATTAGGAGTGTCCATTTGTCCGCCTTCGGTGGCCGTACAAACTCCTCTGGCTAATGGACAAATGGACATTCCTCTGGCCAATTGACACTGCCTTGCCACCATATGATCTACTTGGAGATTAGGTCAGAGGCATTTCAAGGCTAATTCTCAAGGGTTGACATATTCTAGCCAAATTTTCAAAAGGTCCAGCGTGTGAAAACAAAACGGAACAGTCCTGAATTCTGTTACATGAGATCTGTGGCATCCAACCGTGCTTTATCCGGAACCACGTCTGAGGCAAATTTATATTCTAGCACAATTGGAGACTATATTATGCCTAATATAACACACAAACATAGCTCATTCAGGCACAGAACTAGGTAGGCATGGTTCTGGATACGATAACATCCATATCTTTCGCATAGTACACTTGAATTGTTTTTTGTCTACTCATGGGGGCCTTTATGGGGAGTCCCGACAACACTTAACGCTGAATCCATTATGATAAATTCGCTGTCTTGGCTACCGTAAGATATGTTTGGAGATTATCACCCACGCAGTGAAAACAGCAACAAACAGTAACGTTACTATCATCTGACTACTTTATTTCCTCCTTATTTCCGTGTTTATGTACATGTGTACATGAAAATATTTGTAATCGGTGTTTATGTACATGTGTACATGAAAATATTTGTAATCGGAATCCGCAATTCAGCCTGCGGGCTGCGATGGATTTGTATGTCAATAAACCATTCATCATCATCATCATGCTACTTGTACCTGTACAACTCGACACAATGTCCCGCAAAACACGCTACAGCTATGTAGCCATCCGGTGTCAGTTTGATTCCTGTGGGTTCTTTCCCTCTTACAATGGCCACAGTTCTCAGGTACGTCCCGTCAGCTTTAAACACCTGCAAGCGGTTGTTGTCATAGTTCACTACAATGATGTTACCTGCCGGGTCGAACGTTATCCCGCTTGGATTGAGAAGCTCTCCCTCATTCTCCCCCTCTTTACCGAAGCTGACCTTCAGGTTCCCCTCAAGGTCATACACATGAACTTTATGATCATAGAAGTCAGTGACAAACAGTAGATCGCGTGAATCGTCTACTGCTATGAACCATGGGAAGTTTAGAAACTGCCCCTTGCCGATCTCCCGGATGAGGCTCCCGTCAGGCTGCAGGAGGAGACACGAAAATTGGGAGTTAGCCTGGGCGCCTTCCTCTGTAGTTACCATTGGTTGTCCCCTTTCCATTGTTCCCTTAATAGTCGGCTCTCCCTCTTCCCTTGGTACTGTCCTATCTTGGGTGCCATCTTCCGTAGTTACCACTGGCTCTCCTTTTTCACTTGCTACTCTGGTAGCCTGGGTACCATCCTCCATAGTTACCACTGGCTCTTTCTTTTCACTTGTTATTAACGTGTTAGCCTGGGGAACATCCTCTGTAGTTAATACCGATTGCTCTCTATTTTCGCTTGCTATGGTGCCCACTGTGCGATCCGCCACCACCATGCGGCCGTCCTTCAGAACTGCAACTCCAAGTGGATCTCCCAAGAAGTCGGGTTTCAGGGTCTTTGTAAGCTCTCCCTCTCTTGAATACACACTGATTGCCTGTTTGCCAGTGCCGCTCAAATTTTGAGAAGTCACAATAAACTGTCCGTCGGAGTCCACGTCGATGCCCCAATGATCCTCACCTTCCACAGGAAAACACAGAAGCGACTGGCCAGTCTTGGCATCGAATATCTGAACCCGTTTGTTTCCGTTCTCTAACACTGCAATGTTACCGTCCTTGTCCACTGCTACATCTACAGGGTCGGAAAGTTCACCCTCCCCACTGCCTTTTCTTCCACTGATGGTTAAGACTGGGGTGTCCATGTTTTGTATACTGACGTTATGCGGACTTTCCGCAACAGACATTGCTGGAAACCTGCAGAAAGACTGATCTCCAAGCAGATCCCTATCGGTGGCAGAAAGACAGTATCAAAGTGGCCAGGCAGTATCCATTAGCCGGAGAAGGTCCGCGGCCACCGACGGTGGGGTAGCGAGAAAAAACGGCCATATATAAAAAGTTAACGATCATTCCCCCACAACCTCTGCTTGGACAGTAACGTTACAGAAAGACGGGTATCACAACGTTTAAATTTTGCCCAAAGTCAAGCACGTTTTGCCCCCAGATCTAGGACGGTTCGGCCCCGTTAGTTTGATAATCTCAATTGCCAATTGTCCAGTAGGGCACGACAAGGTCTCTATGTAGCTCTATTATTTGACCACACCCGGAACCCGGAAGTACAGCAAGCAGGTCGAGAAGGAAGCCGTAACCTAGCAACAAAGGTCAACCTTTAACCTTTACAGTAGCCTATTCGAAATCTGGCGTGACTTCCCTAATCTCCAAGCGGATCCTAGGTTGTCAAAAAGACAGTATCATGACTTTGAGGGCCCCAAATACAGTATACGGCAAGCAGATCGAAGAGAACCGAGCAAAGTCAAGTTTTGACCTTTAACCTCCTTGCCGGAAACCTCGCGTGAATCTCATGCTTCTGCGAGATTTGACGAGACTTGGCGCAAACGACTTCAAAATGGCGGAACATTCGGTGGTAACAGGTTGTGGAAGTTTTGTTTTTCTCGTGATTTTGACAATTTTTGGCGTCCAGGAAGCGAGAAAGACCCCAAAAGTACGCTAGAACAATGTCAAGCATGTATCGAGCGTCCCAGGTTGACTGGGAAAACAAGTTTTCCTCAATTGTGCGCGAAACGGAGGCGAATCTGGCCAAGGTTCAGGTAGGGATTTTTCTGTTGCTGATTCATGATTTTGATCACTTCCTGATTATGTAAAAATTTAGATCACGTTTGTTTTGATGACGTTTTTAACGTTTTTGGTCGACATAGATTGAATCCCAACCGTACAAGCCAATGAACACAACAAGTATAACCTTTATATTACTTAGTACGTTTTTATTGGCATAAAATTTTGTTTGTACATTTTTGTGCGAAGGGTGTCATATTCATAACCATGCAGGTGCAAAAAAAAATGTAAATAATTGTGTTTTTTGCTGTTTGTAATCCCGGGTGAGACTAGAACAGAAAACATGTTTTTCCTACCGTTCAGTGTGTCTTTTAACTCCATGCTGTAAGATGACCAAACTTTTCTTGCAGGAACGTCTGAATGCAGCCAGAACTCCCACCAGCTCTTCCCTAGACTACCCTGTACATGGAGGTGGGTTCTGCAACTGTACTCAAATCTAAATCAATTTCCTTTACGAATGAGCATTCTTTAAATAGATTATCAATGAGCAATCATAAGTAGAGAACTTGCAGATAAAATGTAATTTCACACTCCTCTTCTTCCGCTGCCGATGTTTTGGCAATGATTGGACAAAATATATAGTATTATAGATCTTCTTTCCTGAGAAGATCTATAGATATATTATACAAAATATATAGATTGTCTCCTTATCATGTCATCATATTCATAATCATATTTCATGTTTCCAGTTTAATCTGACACTAGTGACAGGATAACTATCATTTACCCCAAATAGGTTATAGGCACTTTATAACCTATTCAAGAATTCAATGACAATGGTTCCTAGAACTATCGCAGAGTGGAACTCACTGTCACCAAGTACAGTAGGGGCATTATAATCATTAGATAGATTTAAACAATGTCTAGAGTTATAAGTTAAAGGGTTAGGTGTAACAAGTTGATCGGTGTAATGTAGCCAGCTGCCGCCATGCCGCGTGCCTGCGAAGCTGGTGTGCTATGTCGAAAGGCGGTTATACCGGCTATACAGATACAGATACTTATATTCTATTGAGATGATTCTTCTTATGCTAACTTGTGTGAAGGAGACAAATCAAAAGTTTTGACTTTGATGAATTTTTTTTCTTTCCCAGACTCCTTCCGCCCTAGTCGTGACCCCATCACCTCCACTCCCAAACCCAGGACTGTTCGGTTCTCAGATTCCTCCAACCTGTCCTCAGAGCCTTTACATGTATCCAATAAGGAGAATATAGACTCTGGTCAGGCCCCAGCCATGTGGACTCTACTGTCAGAGAAACTGGACCTGCAGACAAAGGTTTGATTCTCAAGTTTGAAAATTTATGGTTTCCATAGTTTTCTCATGAAAATTTGCTAATTTTTCATAAACCGATTAGGGAGCACATCTCCCAAAAGAATTTCTTGGGAGACCCCTGTGGAGTGATAGAAAGGTCAGCTTTACAGTTTTTGTACAGACTTTTGCGTAACAACATGTGTAAGTCAATAATTCATTTTTGGTGTCCATCTGATCTCAGGTTATTGACACCTTGAAGCGGACAGTGGAAAATCTGGAGAGGGACAGAGATCAACAGAGGTCAAAAGTCAAGGAGTTAGAAAGTAAGTTCCTCCTATTTAGATTGTCTCTGTTCTTGCCTACATATTCCAGTATTCCCTGCTTTGGCTTCAGCCATGTATTTTGTGTTGGACTCGGAGAAAGGTAAAGAAGATGTCATTAACAACCCCTCAATAGTGGTGTCCCCAGATGACCTGTGTTAAATATTTCTACTACACGTATTTCCAAGATGATGTCATTAACCCCTGTGGTGTTCTGGTGTCCTCAGATGACCTCCGTGTGGTGAACGACCGCCTGTCGGAGCGCGGGGTTGACCTTCAGACGGAGATGAAGGTCGAGCGGTGGCGGCGTGAGGTCGCGGCTGAGGTGCAGGGTCTACAGCAGGAGCTACAGAACGTGCGGCGGGCGCGGGATGGGGAGCGCTACGGGGTCAGCGAGGGGGTCACCGCGCTGTCACGGGAACTACAGGAGAGGTGAGATAGCATTAGCAATCATAATCTCAACTTCAATTCTATAATATATGATGATATTATCTCGGCCCAGGAAGCCATGTTTTCATCTGCAAAGTTGCACCGGGGTTGTTTGGTTTTTGTAAAGTGAGTGCGAGTGTATGGAGGCCTTGAACTGTGGACCTGAAGAAAATTTAGATACAGGTACTACTGCTAGTACAGGTACAGGGTTTAGGTACAGGATTGGGCCTGTGCCTGTACCTAAACAAGGTTGGCCTTTTTTTGATTATGATGACATTTTGTTTTAAATTTTACTCTGTTAGATACATTTGTACTTTGTCATCTAAATTGACATCTGGTTGATCTTGACTTCTTACAGTAAGAGGTTTCTTCAAGACGAATGTGAGGCACTCAGAAGGGAAATTGAGGGCATGAAGACTAGGATCGGTGAGTCACTCTAAGAAGTTGTTCTATGTAGAATTTAGGATTCCAATTGTATGTGTGCATTGAAATGAATTTCCAAGTTGTTTTTTTTTGTGACACAGTTCAGTACAGTATGTATAATTGAGTTGTAATGTGTTCTCCCCCAGTAAAACAAGAAGTGGACCTGGCCACATCCATCTCCCAAGCAAGAGACATTAGCAGGAGACAGGACCATGTAGACAAGGTGGGGGAAATTGTTGCTATTGTTTGTAATCTCCAAGCAGATCTTTTTTGGTGGGGGTAAGACAGTATCAAATTGGCCAGTCTGTATCCATTTGCCCATCGAAAGATGCATACAGACTGGCCAATGCATTTGATACTGTCTTACCCCCACCGAAATATCTGCTTGGAGATTAATTGTTTGATGTGTGAGTCACTTGTGGTAGTGTAACCAGCGACTAGTAAACAGTTAACTGCAACAGCGGAGTAGGTAATTGATGAATGAAAGAATTATATTTTGAACTTGAAAGATCTAGACACAGATACATGTATGTGTGATCTGTTTCCCTGTGACATATGCTTGGAAGTAATTTTTGTGCCTTCTTATTATGCATGTTATGGTCACCATGGAAATACATGTATAAATGTCACCTTGGAGATATGAATGTAAGTGAAAATTGTTTTTGATCCAGTGTTTCTTCTCTTTCTACTCCAGGCTGTGAAGTCTTTACAGGAGAACCATCGGTCCCAGTCACATGACACCAGCAGGGTGTCAGCCGACCAATCAGAGACCCTCAAACAGATCAAGGAACTCAAGTAAGGAGTATTGGCGTCCTTCAACAAAACTATATAATCGTGTTTATGTCTTGTCATGTTATCCTTTTGGTTCTATTATGTTGAAGTGAACAGATTGAAATACCTGAAGAAGTTAAATGCTTGATACTCTTCATTCAGGAATTCTGTAGGAAGTATCCAGCGACAAATAGACAGGACACAGGGAGAAACTAACCAACGGAGGAACAGACAAACAGGTGAGCTTGTACAAATTGTATACTAATGGTTGTGTACATAACCTATCTGGTTGTATCAGTGCACCCACAGTTTAATGTTAGGTGCACAATTCCAATTTTAAGTGCACAAAAGTGGACCCAGTATTTCAAGCCCTGCCTATAATATTGTATACGTACATCAGGACGTACATGTACATTAATTGTAGTTGGGATGAATTGTGTTTGCAGCTGTTTATACATTTATATGACACTTGTTAAACCTTTGCTGTACAGATAATGTAAGAGACAACAGTAAGTCCAAGAGGCGACCCTACACCAGTAAAGGCTCTCGTATGACGGGAGTTTTTGACACGTCAGACATTGACACGGATGTTGACCTGAGTTCTCCCAGTATCGCCAGCCACAAGTCTTCTGACTTCTCCTACAACATGGACTATCTCAGGCCCACACCTGCTACAACTACAAGGCACAGGGACAACGGTATGGAAGTTTTGGTGAAAGTTTTTGTTGTAGAATGCCCAATTTGGCTCCAACACAGACAATTGAATTTTGAGCTGATGGACTGTTACTGCCTTCCTTTAATACTCTATTCATGAATGAAGGAATGGTCTTACCAGCAAAGTAAAAATCGTTGTCTTAAAATTTCTATGTACAGCAAGTGATATAAGTCTGGTATTGTGCTATATCTAAAAAATGGTATACTACTAATGTATATTCAGGTTCAACTTCAACTTCTTCTCACTTCAATGACTGAAGGTGCTTAATCTTGCCGATACCAGCAAGCATGTTGTCAAATTCTCATGTACATGTACTTCTAAACTGGAAGTAATGGGTTGCATTTGTATTGACCATTTGTAGTTCTGACAAAGATAACTTGTCTGTTTCCTTCCCTGCTGCTCCAGATCTGAACAGTCTGAGCCCCTCCCTCTCCCCCTCCCTGGATGTGACCTTGAACCTGGACGACCTTGACCCCGGGGATGTCAGCTCTGACCTTGACTTGGATGACGACTTCTTATGATGACCCTTGTGTGAAGTAGAAGGAACGAGGACTCATCTTAAGAAACTAGGGACCAACTCCTGAAGAATTCTCAACTCAGGGATTGAAATCTTCTTAATTGGGTAAAAACTTGTCGAGAAAACAGTGATAACTTTGTTTGTTTGTTTGTTTATACCTTTGTTTCCATAGTTACTGTTGTTTTCATCTCCGTCCATAGTCTCCTAGCAGAGGTTAGGGTTTTGGCTATTTTGTGCCTTGTTTTTAGGCTTTTTTATCAGGCTTTCTTTTTTGCACTGGTATATTTTTTTTTACGCCAACCCAACGGTGCCCAAAAAAAAACAGCCTGATAAAAAAAGCCTAAAAACATGCCAAAAATAAGCCAAAACCCAAACCTCTGCTTGGAGAGTACTCCAATGTCCATGTTTGTGGATGAAAATTAAGTTGATGGACATGTAAAGATGATGAAATGTGTTGCAGTGGACTCAGTACTTTACTTTTCAGTTTTGTTTTGGACCAAGGCCATGTGAGATTTATTTGTATAATTACTAAATAGATAGTTTGAAGAAAGATTCAAACACTTGAAAAAAAAGTGGTTTGAATCAGTGATATTTTCACTGGAGAGATTGGTGACTTTTTGTACTTGGAGTTACGTATGTAATTTGTATTGCAATTTTGAAAGAGGTTCCGCCTGCAATAATGCAAATGGTGGTAAATGGTAATGTATATAACTCTATCTCAATTTGATAATGAAGTAAACAACACTGGCAGCTAAAAAAGTTTCTTTCTAAAGCCTTTGTTGTTTTCTAAATGTCCTGTATGTTCCTCTGACTCTTCTGATTCAAGCAATATGTACAAGTCAGTGACAAAAATGTTGATAAGGGTAAAATTGAGAAGTGTCCTAAACATATAATTATCTTTTATTGCTGAATTCTCTGATAATCTAGTGGTACTTAACTACATGTATATTGTACTTTTCTCAGGTTTATACATTTTATTCCTGCTTTTGCTGCTGGGTTGGTATTGGTGTAATAATTTCATTTTTTTTTCAAATCTAGTGTTTGTTTCCTATTCTTTACAAAGTATTGATTTGTTTTACAACAGAGAAATGGAAAATGAGATTTGAAAAAAAAGCCTCATGTTGTTTCTATATGTCTGATTCAGATGTTACCCTTACCTTTTAGCACACTGAAGTACTGTAGCTATTTGGCTACCGATTCTCTATTGCTTAAAAGGCTATGTGGCAGGATAAAGTTATTGCAAACTTTTGCAGACTTGGAAAGAAGGATCAAAAGCCACTGGGTGATCAAAGAATAATTTTATTTTGTATCACACTTCACCACACAGGCTTAGAATCCTGCTCCTTTCAGTTTCAGTCTTAATTAAAAACATCATCAGAGCAGAGGTCAAAATCATCCGTAACTATGGCAACTCAATCACAGGATAATGTAGATCTAACAAGAACCAACAAAACATCTTAGGTTGGTTGTTTAAAGTTGAAACTTTAGATCCAACACAAAGTTCTCTTACCTAGAGCTTTTGACCAGTAACTCTGGTCTTCCTCTGTAGACTGACCCAGTGAGGCTTGTCATGTGGCTTCTTTGAGGAAGACCAGAGTGACTGGTTGAAAGCTCTAGGTGAGAGAACTTCTTTGTGTTGGACCAAAAATTTTAACTTTAAACATGTAATTACCAAAAACTGAACACAGATGAACTTTAATGATAGTAAAACCATCTTAGGTTGGTGTTGTCTTGTAATATTCCCTAAAGGTTGAAATCTCACAACAACATAATACATATAAGATCGCTGTATTTAATGCTTGTAACTTGTAGCACTGTTCCTCTCCGCTTATAAAGTGTAACATTCCTGAAAGCATCATGTAGGAACAACATGCTAAAGTGATTGAAATTATCGCAAAATTATTATACATCACACTTCATATATATAATTATATATACTAGAGAGATTATATATATCTAAGAGAGAATCTCACAACATATACACACTAAATCACTAGAAAAACTGTGTTCAAATCTATAATACATTTCTGTACTGATATTTGGCAATTGGTAACTTTAGCTAGCTGCGCAATTTGAAGATGATATGTGATGGTACATGTACAATTCTTGTCTAACTCAGTGAAAATTCACTGTTATGGCTTCACCATTTCTATCAACTTTTTGAAAATACTGTGTCTTTTTTCCCCCGAGATGTTGGAAACTGCAGTGTTTTTAACATTATTATGAGCAGCCTTTTACACTGAGTGAAAATATACTGAGTCATGTACTAGTACATGTACATGTATAATTGATTGGGACTCAGAACATTCTTCTAGAAATCTCATTGGAAAGTCTTACAATAAAATACAGTACAAATGTATTGGATTTCAATCTACATGAAACACAATCATGTAATTTTCTGATATGTAAAAACTAGTAACAGTAGTAAAACTGCTTACGTACTGTGAGATCATCATTTGCTACATGCAGGGATTTTTCTAGAAAAATTTAGCATGAGGGAGTAGATGGCATTAGCATGGCAAGGGAGCGAAGCGAACGAGGGGGGATTTTTTTATGAGTCTCAGAGTAAAGCAGTTTGTAATGCTAGAATGCAATGTTATATAATATTTTTACATGTTTACTGGAAAAAGATCATTTTGAGAAAGACTAAAGTTGTGTTCACTCTGAAAATTGATATGAGGGAGCTGGCTGGTTACATGAGGGAGTAGCACCCTTATTCCCCTGTTTAGAAAAACCCCTGTACATGTATTTGTTCATTATCGAAATCTAATTATCTAAACTGCAGCAAATAATACTTTGTTTGGAGATTGTCATAACAAATCATTTATAAATCACCATTTTTAGAAGATAAAAACCATAATATAATCATTATATGGTAGTTTTGGAGTTTAAACACCCTTGTATTTACTCAAGGTAACACCCATGTTCAAGTGTAACATACAGTGAGGTAACACTGACACCTAATCAGTGATTAAACATTATCTAGAAGAAAATACAGACAGCAAATCTCAATTTGATACAAGAGAGATGGACTGAAAGTTCCTGAATGTCACTGGCAATAATGTCTTTGGCATAACAGTTTATATGTTGAGTGCTGATGACCCAAATCGAAATATATCTAATTGAGCAGTTGTGTAAAATTTTGTTAACCCTTTCTCTGCTGAGGATGCTTTAAAGCAGCAGATTTGTATTGGTAACAGCAGGCATCAGCAGAGAAAAGGTTAAACTAGCACAAAATTGGCAGTATTGTTTTCTTTGTGTTTTTACTGCATAATTATATCCAGGGAACTGCCTCAAGGTGTAGCGCACCAGTTTTGTATTTTGGTAAGTACAATTTATATGAGCAGCATAAAGCCAGGCTACATGTATTTCGGTATTTTGTTACAATTATACAAGTTGCATATATTGTAAAACCCAGACTGTGTAGGTATTTTGGTAAGTACAATCATGTACAAGCAGCAGAAACTGTTTTTATCTATTTGAATATCTTATCTATTTGAACCAATTATTTTGCTTTAAAATCTATTTCTTTGATACAACAGTTTAAATTCATACTGTGTCTTTTTGGAGAAGATTTGAAATTTTGGAATTTAATTTATGGATGTCTGGTGTCCACTGAGTGTGTGGCTGTCCTCAGTGTTGACTGCTCAGTGCCTGTTTTTCTTGCAGATCTTGTCGAAGACCTCAGGGAAGGCCTTCTCGCAGCTGAGCTCTGCCCGCATCTTGTCGTACAGGGTGTGGTCAAACGTCTGGCGAAACTCCTCACGAGTCATGTAGCAGTCCGCGTACAGCATCTGGAACCTGGTGGGTAACAAAATGTGAGTCAAACTAGTCTAGGATAGGTAACGTTTGCCAAGCAAATACAATTTTGTTTACCTTCACATAGTTTAGCCTTAAAAACTACTGCTCTGTATATTCTTACTTAAACACATAATATACACATGCATATATACATGGTTCCCACACCGGGAATCAAACCCGGTCCAGCGGTTAGGATTTGGCACTCTCACTCAGCCAAGGCCTGGGTTTGATTCCCAGTGTGGGAACCAGTGAAACAAACGGTAGAGAGTAGAAACAGCAAAACCCGGCAGCCAGCTTATGACACCAGTGTGCTAATGACGACTCCAAAAGGTTCAGACCTCTTGGAATGGATCAGTTAGCAGCATTTGAACCCCACTGTTACAGTTGGATCAAAAGTTTTATCTTTAAACATTGTTCCTTACCCATTCACACTGCGCACATACTCCTCCAGACGCCTTGTGGTCGTGCCAGCCTCGAAGTCCATGGTCTTTGGCTCTCCGTAAGCGCCAATGTCCACGTACATCTCATCCTGGTCACCCTTGGGATGGACCATTCCGGGCTGGGAGGGGAGCAGCATGGGGCACAGCCACAACGGGTACAGCTGCAGAGAGGGGGGGGGAGGGTATTACAGTTACAAAGAATTGTTGCTATGAACCAGACTGAGTACTACAATGCCAATTTGCAATACAGTCCAGCCTTTTTTGCAGTACGATATCCTATTTATAATACTGTGCCATTTGATGACCTTTGCCACACAAAGCCGGTGAGAACACTTATATTGCAGGCAAATAGTCAAACAATCTTGCATTAACCTGAGTGTCAGACGTCATCTGGTACTTAGCAACAGAGGAAGAGACTGGATGTAAAGTAGGATCATCAGGATTCCAGGCTAGTCAAAATGGGGACACCCCTTAATATGATCCAATGCCCCTACAGTCTGCCAATTGATGTTAGGTTTGTCAGTGTGCCTGCAAAGCTGGTGCGTTATGCCAAGGGGCAGTTATACCAGCAATAGGTTTTGAGTTGCAGGAACACATGGATACAATACAGCCATACAGTCACACTCTTACAAACCTTGATCTCCTTGTGGAAGACCCTGAGCGCTTCGCCCATCTTGTCGAGCGGGATGAGCATGTCCTGGATCACGTGGTGTTTCTCATACAGCTGCCGGACCGTCTCTCCCTGAGTCAGTTTCAGAAGGGAAACTTTCGGCGGGACCATCCATCCGCACAGGAAGCGGAAGATTGGGTTGTTTCCAAAGGGAATGATGTCCTAGGAACAATTAAACAAACAAAGAAACAAACGTTAGCTTCAGCAGGAAAACCTTCGGCGGGACCATCCACCCGCACAGGAACTGGAACTTGGGTTGTTTCCAAAAGGAATGATGTCCTAGGAACAAACAAGCAAACAAATGTCGTAGGTGAGAGTTAGACATCCGGGTAATAAGGTGACGCTGACAAGAGGTAGTGGCTGCTACCTGAAACATCTGACCGTCTGGCCTTGTTTTTTCTCTGTCTTTTTTTATAGACTTTGGTGATCTCTAGTGATGCAACTTATACATTACAGTTTAACAAAGTAAAATTTGACACTTTCATTTTCAATGTCCATGTTGGAAAACTGATTGTACAATGTTTCATCTCTCAGGTGTCAGGTCATGGAGCTAGAAAGGTCAATCATCTAAAAAATTTATGTCCCTTGCAGGGGTCCACACAAAAAAAGGCTAGGGTCAGCAGGTTTTCTAATGTCAGTTGGGAAACAGAGCTTTTTTTCCTAGGCCTTACCTGAAGCTCCCAGAAGATAGCGCGTGTGTGCCTGTGGTAGTAGTGCCTCAGTGGGATGTACTCCACACCAGGGCCGGTCTTCAGGAAGGTCTCCACGTGTTTGAAGAACCACGGCTTGTAGTACAGACCGATGGAGTTCACCTGGCAAGGAAATAATCCTCGTTACTTTGGGTTGGAAGCCCAAGCAGTTTGCTGAATGTACTGTTACTGTTTTACCATTTTTCTAGTTCCTAAGTTATAGAAGTTCTGTCAGTTCATTCTAGTGACACTGAAGAAGAGTATTGTCATTCGAAATGTTTGGAAGTAACAGTAGCTCATCAGGTTCACACTGTATTTGATTAGAAAAGAGGAGTTTGTCTATGGCATTGGTAGAGCATCTTCTACATTTCAGTAATTGGTTGTTGAGTGATGGAAGAGATTGCACAAGTCTGCATACTGTCCCCAAGACAGTGCTGCACATAAAGACCATGTGTGCTTAAGAAATTTGGCCAAGCATAACCCAGTCACCCCTACTCTTGACCTGTTGCCATGACAATGACCTAGTGACCGAGCCTACCTTGCCTGGCTCTGCCTGATTGGTCAGATTTGCTGTCATGACGACAGCCTCGTTCTCACTGAACATCAGCCCCTCCACAAAGTCATTGTCGCTCTTCTTCAGAACCTGAAAACAAACAAGAAGTTGGAGACTTCAAACTTCCAATATGTATGTAGGTATGGATTGTGTTAATGTCATTTAGCTATCAAACTACTAGTATACTTTTCTGGCAAATGACCCTCTCCAATCGCAAATTTTGCCAACAGCAAACCATGCCACTACAAACACCTTGAGCAAACTCATTACCAAAATTTTATTTGGCAAAGTTTGATACGTTCGTTCAATGCAAGCAGAAATACCTCACCTCAAATTTTCAGTCGCTCTTACATCAAACTTCAGTTGAGCTAAATTTCTGCTTGTTCAATGAAAGTATCAAACTTCATCATGATATATACCAAGTTTGAACACAGATGAGTTTTTTTCCAGGAGACTGAGAGAAAAACCGGAAGAACCATCGAAAAAGAAGTGTGGAGCCATGGTTCCACTCTCGATGAGGCAGCGGACCTGGGCCAGATGGAAGAGCTACCTTCTGCCTTAAGAGTCATGCTCAGCTGGCTCAGAAGAGGACTAAGTAAGTAAATGAGGTGCATTTTCATACGGATCATTAAAATTTTTCTAAAAACTGCCCATATACAGACCTCCTCAGTGTAGACCTTGTTGACCTCCTCGGCCGTGTGGCAGGGTTTGTACTCGACCTTGACAAAGTTGGCAGCGTGGACGATCTTTATCTCTGCGGCGACAAGGAATCCCAGGGTGCCGTGGGACCAGGGCACCGCGTAGAACAGGTCTGGGTTCTCATCCTGGATGGAAAAAAAGTTTATTGAAGCAGAATCACGTGGTAGTTGCCTTTTTATTACCTTTGCCAAGAAGGTTCTGTTTTCAGTAGCGTTTGTCCATTTGTTTATTTGTCTGTGAACAGCATAACTCAAAATGTATGAATGGAATCTGATATTTGGTGTGTGGATAGGGTGGCCCCAAATCTGAAAATGATTAGATTTTGGGCCCCTGGCGGCTTTCCTTGGTACTGAAAGATGTCTTTATTTATCTTTATCTTTTTTCTACATTGTTGTCAGACCAGGGTCAAGCATGAAAACATTGAGGCTTGTGTTTTTGCTTTAGGCAAAGGGCTCAACCAGTCAAGTTTCTGTGAATGTGTCTAAACAGGTATTTCCTTTTTTTTCCAACTTCTTTTCAACTTCATGTAAGCTATGCCTTTCTGAGTTTCTCTTTAGACTGTAAGTTTGCATGTAATGAGAGTATAAGACCCCCTGCCCACCTTGGTACACCTGACCAGACTGCCGTCAGCCAGCACCAGCTCAAACGCCTCACAGCTGTGCTGGAACAAACCGTAGCGATGGGAGGAGGTCTCTACTCCTACTCCACAGATCAAACCACCTGCAACAAAAGTATAAACCCTTCATTTTCACCATAAAAATGTGCAATGTCAAAATACATGTATGTCTTTAAAGCTTGCTTTCATTTTTCCAATTCTCAAAGGCACCATGTTGAAGTGTTCCTAATACTAGTATATGAAATCAATCTTTTAAATTTCTAACAAAATCTTTCAATCAATATTTCAAAGTCATTAATCACTCTTTCAATTTTTCTTTCATTGAATCAATCATTCAATTAATCCATTAATTGATCAGCTGTACCGACAGTGAGGTTGTTCAGGCAGGACCATCTTTCAATGAATTCAATGAATCCTGAATCAATTTCTCAATCCTTCCATCATTCAATCAATCCTGTACTAAATCAATCAATCAATCCATAATTGATCAGCCATACCGACAGTGAGGTCGTCCAGTTCCGGCAGCACAGGCAGAGTCCAGCCCAGTGGCAGCAGGGTGGCAGTGATCTGTCCCATGGTCGCTAGCGGCTCCACTCGCACAACCTGTAAAACAGAGCAAAATAGTAGTAGTTTGAGTAACGGTTTTTGGAGTACTGTAGTTTGTTCAAACTTAAGTAACTATTTTTCTCGTTTTCTTTCAGAAGTTTCCTAACTCTAGGTGAGGACAAAAATCAAATTTGGAAGTGATCTGTCCCATGGTCGCAAGTGGCTCCACATGCACAACCTACAGCAGAGGCAATCTTTAGGGAGCTTTTGGAGAGCAAAACAGTACTGTTGTTTGTTCAAACTTTAATAACCTTCTTCTCTTCTTCTTTCAGAATGAAGATGAAGGTAAAAATCAAATGTTGAAGTGTTATTCCATTAGAAATAACTCTAGAAATTACTAGGAATAATTATAAAACTAAACTTACTTCAAACCCCTTAGCCCTTACACTTATTCTACATCTGTCTCCAAAAAAACCCCAGGAGATTTAGTTCTTGCAAGGAAAATACCAATTGCTCTTGATACGATTGATGCCTTAGTAAGTTAGTTCTCTCTCTCTCTTTTCGAATTGGTAATTACTAGTAGCTAGTAGCCCTCAGGCATTTGATTGGTCAAGCCAGGTCTAGCTACAAGAAACGAGGCATTTGATTGGTGGAGCCTGACCTGGCGGTTGACATCCACCTCCAGGATGTCGATGAGGTTGATGTTGATATTCTGCATTGTCTGTTTGTACTTGCCGACCCGAAGACTCATGGTCTGCCAGCCGGGCCGCGCTGTGCACATGGGCTTACGGCTCCCGTCTTCCTTCCACGCTCGCACCTGGGGAGAGATAGAACAAGGCATTTGATTGGTGGAGTCGCACCTGGCTATAAGAAAAAAGGCATTTGATTGGTTAGTCTGTTTGTACTTCCCGGGTACAGAGGAAAAAAGTTTGTTAAAGTCCTCCCCGCAACCATTAGCATGGTCCCTTATAGTGGTGCCCGTCTCCGTTTCTGTAGCCCTTGGGCCACACAGTGCAATCACTACAGCAGGGGGCTAATCCACTAGTAGTGGTGAGTTTTAACTCCCATACTCTTCTCAAACACTTAGAGCTTTGCTGAGAAAGTAGTACTTACATGTCATTTTTAAAGGAGGAATAGAGGAAAAATTAATCTAAAATCTATCTATAAAAAGACTCTTGTTTTAAAAAAAAATCTGCATAAGACTGCCATCCTCCTTACAACAGCCCACATATAAAGCATATAACTTTAATCTATCTTAATAAGAAAAGTTTTTCTGTAGTGGCAGTGCCAGTTAGAGTCTAAAAACAGACAACAGGTCAGGATCTGACCCCTCTAGGTCAACATCCAGTAGGGCATATGAGAAAGGTCAACAAACTGACCAACCGACCAATCAATAATCTTTATTTACACCAGACGGCCATGTTGTCCTTGACCCTTGTTCTACCCATCGAATGTGGAGGCAATGGCCAATAGAAAACAAGGCTTCTATTCAAACAAAGTATCAAATTAGACATTTTTGCTTTGGATTTCTTATAGCGTTTTCCATACAAAATTAGCATATTGGCCATGGAGAGTTTGTAAGTACATACTAAGTACATATAAAGAAATTGTCTCTTGCATGGCAGATTTTTTTAGTGCATCACCAATATGCTAAAAGTCCAATATTGACTCTGCTTTTTTGTGTGGTGGACGTTGTGTACTTTTATAGAAATGTTCCTTATGGACTACAAAATCCACACAACCCTTCAACAAGCTCACATTTGGCATGATTCTAACTATTTGGTTGCTAAAAAAAATTAACCACTTCATTCCATTGGCCTATGTAATCCCATATCACAAAAAAACTGCAGAAATTCACTCAAAATTGAGTTCTTAAATGTATTAAACAACCAATTTTTTATAAACAAATACTGGTGAAAACATACTTTCCAAGCTAAATCATCCTGGTCACAAATTGGTCTTCAGAATCAGACCCTATGGTAGCTAAGCATATGTTCAAATGGTATCTTCCTTGGAACATTGTATATAATTTATGTGGCAGGTGGCGTGATTACGTTGCCATGGCAACAAACGGCGACACAAACATTAAAATTAAAAGGAGACTTCTCCTATATCTGAAATATTATCGATACTGTAGCCTTTTAAAAGACTTGTGCGGTCATGTTCTGCCAAAAATAAACAGAAATGCGACCGCTGGACCGCTACCATTGAAGGAAGGGCGCATAGGTGGCAAGTAGGCAACGCATTCTCCAAGCAGATGTTTGATGTTTGTCACGTTTTCGTAGGCTTCGCCATCGATTCACAATAGATTTTATTAAAGAAGGGACATTTTAACAAGAATTGTATGTAGTTCCTCTTTTCAGCGATCGCCAAAAACTAGCCAAAAGAAGACTTACAGAACGAGCGAAAACACAAGACTCAAGAAGAAACAACAGCGTATCTGCTTGGATATTACGAAACGACCTTGCGTTATTAGCTTAAGTCTTGAAGATGTCTTACCTGTTTCTGGATGTTTCTTACTCTGTCGTCGTGTTTCTTGGGCGCGCTGTGGAGCTGGAAGACGATCCAAGTCCTCAGGTAGTGGTACATGTCGAAAATCACGCTTAAAGGCAGCAAAAAGAAGCACACGAAAACCCATCGTTGGTGTATCATCACATATTCTATCCCTTTCAGGTGGACCCAAAGTCCAGCGCCACCGAAAACGACCAACAAAAAAAGCAAGAAACCGAGCATTTTTGCCGTCGACGGCGGTCAGAAATGGTGGAAAGGGTGCCTAAAATGCCGTCGATGTTCAAAACGTTGTGGATGTGTTTGGTAGGCGCAGTTTGAGGGAGTTTCTTTCGCGGGCTGGTCTGCTATTCGCTTACAACCACTGGCGTGACAAGTCCTAAATGCCTTAATAGGTCAAAGGTTGTCAGGTGAGTCCACAGAAGGCTCTGCCCACTAAACGGACTTTCACCGGTCTTTTATTTACTTTTTTACGCACCTCAGTGAAATTTTATCTAAACAGCAAAGATTTGGTTACTTATTAAGAAGCATCAATGATAAGGTGGTGCTCTGAAAATTCGTCCCAATAGCCTCCACCCCTGTGGAGGATTTGGTATAGTCTGAAATCTGTTCTGTTGTTTTGGTGGGCGTGGCAGTTGTTAGTTACCTCAACTTTGGCACAAAAATCGTCCATCTTTCCTGTCACTCAATTCAAGGTCCTTTGGCAACATTGTCAGGACTTCAATTCCTAGTTCAAGGGACACTTGGAGAAAGCAATTAAAAATTCACAACGATCTCTAGCATTTTCTAGTATTTTATTGAGCTTTTTTTAATGTCGTTGTTTCATTTTTGCAGGTCATTTGTCAGGGGTGTGCTTTGAGTATTACTGAGAGGAAATTTACCTAGTTTAACCTCCGTTTTTCTTCTTTTTTTGGACGAATGCTGTTTGTTTTTATGTGACGCTAGATTCGCCTGGTCCTTTGTTGACAGCGGCCTGTGTTCACGCATGGCTGAACTCCCACATCAACCCATCAACTTTCCCGCCAAATTTCGTATTTGCATCCTGCTCTCGCGAGATCTTGGATCATCACAAAATATTCTCTCATTTTTCCCACTACTGTCCGTTTCCACGCACAACTAGCCTATCTACTGAATCTATAAGGCTGTTTTTATAATTTTGTTTATTGTTGTAAGGTTGTGTTTTGTAAAAGGGTGTATTTTTCCGAACGAGATTTCGCGAGATCTTGTTCGCGCCATTCCCACACGTGGGTGAAATTATCATATTTAAAGCCGTTTGTGTTCACTTCTTTTATCACACACACAGCTACAGAGCTCGCTCCCTTTCTTATAAAAGACACGCTGCTAGAAGAACTCTTGCCCGAGAAATTCGGCCAAGATGTGGATCCAAGTCCGTACGTTTGACGGAAAAAGGCAGGTACAGATAGACGGCCTGTCGAAGCTGACGAAAATCGAGGAATTGAGGGGGAGGGTGGACGAAGTTTTCGACGACTCGCCGCCCGAGAGACAACGCCTCTTCTACCGCGGAAAACAGGTACTCATTCATTCAGAAAACTCGCTGTTTTTCCTCAGAAATACGCCCTCAAACCTCCAGATTCTCTAGGAGTAGCCTCTGTAGGGTGTACGCTGTCTTTGTGTGTTGTAAGGTTCCGTATTGGCATTTGTAGCGCCCTAAGTGCCAACGGGGTCATCCAGGGCACTTTGCATTGACATCGGCGGGCGTTGAGGTAAAAAGGCCCGAGCAACAAAAGACCTCGTCTCGATGGCCTACAAAACTCGCGTTTCTGAGGAAAAACTTACCCGTGAGCTGGTATTAAGGCAAGCTAGGTTAACTAGAAGCATGATTTTGTAGCTGTCATTGCCGATTACTGAATATTTTTGTTAAATTTTTAATCCAGAAGAGTTGACGGCATCCAGGAATTGAGTTTCAAGTGCCCAAGGGGCAAGTGATCTGCTCAGATTTTGTCTCAGAAAGTGTGACAAGCCCCCAAAATGTCAAATTACGTTTCATTTTGCCAATTTTTCAACATTCTGACATCAAAACAACTGCCTAGGAGTCACACATGCAGACAGAATTTGCAGTTGGTCGTTAATCGAAAAGAAAGGACCACTCTTAAGGGTGGTAGTTGTGTGATGTTTGAGAAATAATGTAGTCGCTGGAAACATCAGACAGGAAAAGTGTAACTTCCTGCCCAAAGGGCCTCCGGACAAGCCAGGAATTCTCGATTTGTATGCCGTCAGACACATGACGACACACAACATCGGAACCCAGGCTTCTTTATGTGTGTAAAACTTCGGGAGAGGAGAGGAAAAAAAAGGCACAACAGAGCTTATTGTTCGGGGGAAAGCCTTGCCTTCTGGCATCTCCGTTTTGCTGAGTGCACCAGACAAAGCCTGCAGCCAGCCAGCTTGCCTGTACCACTCTCAGCTACGCAGTAACATACATGTATCCTAGCCTCCATAGCATGCCAAAAACTGGGGGTTTTGGGGGTCTTTGGGAGCTTTTATGTGCTATTTTCTGATTGCATATAGACAACATCGCCGGCCTGGTTGAATTAATCCCGTTTTTTCTGTAGAACTGGGCTAATCAGAAAACAGCCGAAGACCACCAAACCCCCAGTTCTATAGTATAAGCCTTCTACGGAGGCTACATGTATCCCTCTGATGCAAAATTGACAACCGTAACCTCATTGTGTGCATTAGCACGGTTAGAAAATGGTGCGGTTGTCGGTAGAACTAGAACATTCTGTCCCCCGTCCCCTACATTTGTGAGAAGGCCAGGCAGGCAGCATGGCAGCCCTAGTACAAACACGTCATTAGCATAATGATGGCTCCGCTGGCACAAGCTGGCTGGCTGACATGTTTTTGCAGAGATGCCCTTCGTGCACACAGTGCTCACACACACACACAAAAAATTAGTCCTGCACTCCGCAGTGCAGCTATAAACTTAGGAGTAGCCATAATTTTGGCACGTTAGAATAGAAGGTAATAGCTGACGGTGTGACGTATGTGTTTTTGTCGTGATCAGTGTCGTTGAATGGCAACGCTAATTGTCAAGCTTGAATGTTGGTGTTACAAGATCATGCACACAGTGCTCACACACAAAAAATACTCCTGCAATCCGCAGTGCAATTATAAACTTGGAAGTAGCCATAATTTTGGGCCACGCAAGAATGGCAGTTGACAGTTTGAATGTCAGTGTTTTTGTCGTGATTGGCGTTGTTGAAACGCAACGTTAATTGTCAAGCTTGTAGTACGTTGGTAAAACGAGATCGGGGGTGAGTGGGTGTTACCGACTGAAATACCCGTGACTCTTGCGTCGTAGGTGACATTTGTCAGTAAATATTCTAATTCAAATCAAAGATTATATGTATGTAACTATCCGTGAAAATCAGCCTGGCTTCGGACAATCGACAATCGAGCCAAGCCACACGAAAAAAAAACAACCTGCAAGACAAGTTTAAGATGTGCCCATGGACAAAGAAAAAAAATACCACAGCGATTTGCATAAAGATGGCGTCATACCTTGGCTAACGTTTCATTCTGGGGGTGTTTACAGCTAACTAGGTCAGGCTTGCGCAGTGAACTCGTTTACACTCGCACTTTCCCCCAAACCAGCTAAACCACTCGCCCTACCCTCAGTAGTGTAACGTCACAAAACGCCTTTGTAGTTGTTATTGTCTGCAAATCAGCTTTCGTTACTTTAAAGCTGAGGTATTTCCTTTTGTCGTGGGCTCTTGAAAAAAAAAAGAGAAGTGTAAAGAATTAGATAATTCATTCTCGTATATTGGTACCTCTTACATAAGAAAGTTACTTTAGTTCCAAAGGTCACGTGCAAAGCATACTTGGGCTGTTTTAATGCAGTAAAACGTTTGACATACATGTATCTTTGTACCTACAGTATAGTTGGTGTATTGACGTATTGGTACATAAATGCACTAAAAGAACATAACAGCCAAATTAAAGTATACCACTGCCTGAATGTCATAATTGTAGGCAAGTTTGAAAACGAAAGACAAAATCGACATGTAAGAGAAGGCCTATAATATATGCAAGAAGTACTACATGTAAAATCGTCATACAAAATAACACCCTTGCCAAATCAATCGCAAGTTTACAGGTTGTGATATTGAGGCAAATTTGGCCACTGTCATTATAATTTGTTAGTCGGAATGTGTTGGCAGCCATCTTGATGTCAGACCATTTGAGAGTATTTGTCGTGTTTGTCCTCTGATTCAGCAGGGCTCAAAATACTGGGTGCATGTGCACCGTAGTGCACCCAAAATTGCAGCTGTGCACCCAATTTTTTTCTGTGGGTGCACCAGTGCACCCAAATAATTTTGTAGGTTCGCACTAATGTTAGTAGTATACAGCATATTCATCTCACATCTAACTTAGCCCCGAAGTTGCCACCCCCTAAAATTAATGGGGTGGGGGTCATTAACCTCCGGCCGAGAGCTTGTGTAACGCAGGCTAGGGTTCATTGGAATTTTTGTTTTTTGCTGACATTCTACAATTTCATAATGCACCAAAAGTGTTTTTTTTTTTTTTGCACCCAGTTTTTTAAGTTGGGTGCACCAGTGTATGTATTCTCAAAAATAAATTTTAAGCCCTGTTTGGTGATAGTCATCAGTGGCAAAACAGGAAAAGGGGATCAAGGAACACTGGAAGCTTCTGAAGGACTTTACAGGTCATGGCGAGGTCGAGTAGGAGTAGCTGCTCCTTAAATCAAAGTGCTAAGGAACAAGGTTGCTGTTTAAGAAACTGACTTGTACTGAGTTGTAGTTCTTAAAGGCACGCTAAGCAATTTTAGGATAGTAAAACTGGACTTTCAAAGTCAATTTTCTAGTCTTTTTTTAATGTACATACTCTGTACTAAGTTGAATTAACCCTATCCCAAAGCATAACATCTATGAGTATGAAGCCAAAATGTGATGTGGAAAGAAAGTTTCTTGTTTTGTATCGTAGCCTAGGCTAGTTCTAACTTTTTATTGGTGGTACCAAAAAATGATAGGACTCATGTAACTTTTTTTGGCGTATCTTATTTCATGGATGTCTAACCTTCACCGACATGACTTACAAATTGTTTTCAGTCAGTGGAGACATTTTTCCAAATTGACGATAAAAATCCCTGCAGACTACAATACCGGTAATACAATATGAATCATTACAACGGAAACAAGTATATAGGCCTGGTGGCTGGTAACCAAGGTTTTTGATTAGTGATCTGATAAATCCAGGTTGTGTATTGTTCTGTGGTCACTGGTGGAATTCTGTAGCGTTGCGATAAACTCTATCCACATCCCGGGCCTTTCCCAGAACAGGCGACTCAGAACAAAGGGCAAAGCCTAATTTGTTTTTAAAGAACGTTTCAAAATGGCGACGTCAG